TGACGCTTTATATATTATTATATATATATAACTATATCTGATTATATATGAATAATTTTTTTCCGGATACACTTTACCCTATTTATATTTCCAAAAGAATACATATATTTACGAAATGCTATTACGATTCATTTATTATTAATTATCGATTATTATAAGGAACGTATATGCGGACGTATTATATGTACAATTTATTATCTACTAATTCACATAAGATTTGCATATCAGGAGAGATAAAAATTGTACCGACAGCGATCAAATAATACCCCATTAGAGTACGAGTTTATTTGCGATGATGTATATTATTTGTGGTGACTGGAGTCTTTTCTTCTTTTCTTTTTTTTTCGAGATACTACCATGTGTATTACTTTTCCTTTACATTTATTGTATTAATACAACTATACATGAGTACACGTTAATAAATTATTTACAAAGTTATGATACACTGCCTTTTAAAGAAAAAAAAAAAAAATATATATATATATATATATAAGTATTATCATATGCAAAATGTAGAGCAGAAAACGTTCTGTACTACGAAATCATATTCTAAAAGTATTAACGTTACAAAAACAGACTGTAGCCTTGAGAGCAAATTTCTGTCAAAAAAGACATATGTATACATAAACGGAATGAATGTTATTTTAGTCGTGTATGTGTGGGAGAAAGAGAGGGTATATGTGTCCATGTCCTGGGTATGCGTCAAGAACGGTCGATATAATACATTATTAATGATAGTTTATCATTATGGTATATTTTGGCATGATATATTCAACTGTAGCTGTCATTCCTGTACAATTATCCGTTCATGTGTTGACGTAGGAGTTAAGCACGACATATTTAAGATCGAATGAAATAGAATCGTACCAGCTAACACGTACGATGCAGTTTTTGTGAATCAATCATTACAGGTTTACATAGATTACAAAAACAATCTTCGAAACTACATGTGTACATCGCTTTCGAAAAAGAAGGAAAAATATTCCTAATCAATATCGCGCTAACATATATTCTAAGTACCGCTGTGTTGCAATTGATCAAATTTATCAACATAATATATATATATATGTATATCCTAATTAGAAAAAGAAAAAAAATTGCTTTATTTAATACATCAGGGATTCTGTTAAAAGAAACCGGATTGTCAAAAAAGAAAAATAGCAAAAACAGGACGGTCAATGTGTCCAAAAGTTATCTCTTCGGATATCTTATCGATTATCAAGAACTGTGAATCCGACACTTTTTCTTCATAGGATCTCGTTTCCTGTATGGTCCCCAGCATTACGTACCAGATCTCTCGCTTTACGATATAGCTGGCAATCGACGAACTCGAAACGAAATTTTAGAATTTACCGCTTTAAAATCTCTAATCTGATAATTCCCCGGTCCAACATGCCTCATTGATTGTTAGCAATTGTTCATCATATAAGCATAGTCGCTTTGTACTATATCTTTATGCAAAACAAAGACGCTGGAGACGATCGATAGTTTCGTATACACGACCAGTCGATGCGTATACGATAATCAATTCTCAGTTATCTAAGTTTTCCCGTAATTTTTCTAATCCCTTCCCGACGGAATTCAAGATACTATATCTATAATTCCTACAGATTGGCCTTCCAGCGTTTCTGATGCTTAATCGTAGAGAAAATTCTGTTTACTTACACGCGGCAATTGACCACACAGCCCTCTCTACCACCGCAAACAACGAGGTTTATGGTCAATTACAATATAGTCGAATGAGTGCCATTCTAATAATACAAACAGTTTTACATAAAAAATACGATCACATATATCACAAGAAGACAGATATCGTAGCCGGGAAAGAACGTATAAATTGAATTTAGGAATATTGAAAAATTCACAAACCAAAGGAGCACGATAAAGTTCAATTTCCGGATTTTTGGGAAAGTTCTCGCTCATTTTTTTGCACTTTTGGTTTTGTTTGGTATAACGAATTTTGTCCGAAATCGCGATCCATAAGTCTTGACAGTTACGCGACAGTAACGGTTGGGTTCGACAATATCGTCAGGTTTCTGGACAGCAGGATTTTCTACGCCCTTCTGATAAGGACTCGGTATGAATGACTTTATTTTTCTGTAAAAGTAAAAAAGAAGAATTAATATAAAATGAAGCAAATTACCCTCTTATAAGATGGACCTCTTATAAGATGGTTCAAATTAACGCTCCGGAGTAATCGCCGCTGCTATATTAGATTCGTGGCGTCACAGGCGAGAAATATTGCATGTCACTTGCAAATAAAGAAATATTTGGATAAAACAATACTTGAGATCGCTCGAAGATACTTGTGAGAATGGACGAAAATTCCCTTTTTTCCTCCTGAAGTAAATAAATAGCTGTAAAGGACACATGAAATACGGCCCAATTCATTCAGGAAAACACATGATTTCACAGTTGAAAGAAGTGAAAAATATGCTTCCGCGTATAACATTTCAAGCTAATCTTGGTTTTCGTCCGTTTTCACGGATTTAATAAGTATGTCACAAATCACCTGTACAATTAAGCAAATAATAAGAAAATCGGATACAACACAAAATTTCGTCACCACGCCACTTTTCACGTACACAAGTGCGATCCAGCAAACATTACAAATGCTTCGAAGCGTTTCTTCTTCTTTTTCTTCCTTTATTTGGGCCCAAAAGATGGAAAGAAGCAATGTTTCGAAGCATTTGCATGTAGCACTTGCTTGATGCACTCTATTAGTTCGTCCTTTTTTTTGTTCTGAATGTCAATGCGGAGTTCTTCGCTGACTACTCTGGAGCCTCAATACAAAAGTCCCAAAGAATAGCAAAGCAAGATGGTATGAAGCATTGAGAGAAGAATAAAAGAGAACATCGATAAATCAATTACTGAATTACAACCTACGATGTTGATTCGGAAACACATTTTTAGATCTGGTTTGAGGTGGTGAAAACACATAATTCGGGACTTCTCCAATATCTGCAAATTAAAAACAATGATCTCATTAAATCGTTCAGTTTTGAGACACCTTACCGTATAAAGCCAAACTATAATAGGTGTAGCAGGCCTTTAGTTTTTTTTACTTTAAACCTTGAATTGTGACTTGATCAAATTATCAAGCCAGCTGTGACTTGATTAAATTATTAAATCACAGCTTGAGGATGTATTATCCACTAACGCCCTATATTTTCAGTGGTGCATCAAAAGGGCTACTCATAAATTTAGTATTTATTAAGCAAAATTCCTGTACATTTATTTCACTATCTAAATAATAAATGTTAACTTGAAATAAAATTGAAATAGACATACGTATATATGTCTATTTCAATTTTAGACAAGATAGTCAATAATTCTAAAATTTGTGTATGTCTGCATATTAGTTTTTAATATCATAGTAAGTTTTAATTAAAAAATCTTATTTTTAATTTATAAGTTATTTAAAATAGAAATTACAAATGCCACGCTATTTTCAAGAATATCTATAAAACGTATCAACTTTAGCTATAAATATCTCCGCTCTCGAATAGGTCAATCTTTTTCTAATGGCACGAGTAATGAGTTAGATAATTTTTCAGTATAATATTTCAATATATATGTAGTGCAAATTTCATTGGATTCTTATGAAACCCGTTTTACCTTACAATTTCCTTTAAAATGGAGTAATTTTTTATCTAGCCTCTGAATTACCGTCAATTTTTGGTGTCGCTTTTAAATGCGATGTAGATCGATTTATAATTTTTTCGCAATTTTTTTCATCATTTTGACTCATGGACAATACATTTTTAAGACTCCTGCATAGGCGCTGCAACTATCTTTGTTTGATGACGTCAGAAGCGTTCCTCGCTCCTCCAGGAAATGCATGTCGAGAGTATTTACGGTACACGTTCAAATAAAAAGATATATCCACAAAATAACATTTATGATCGATTCGACACATTAGTAAAATACTCCAAACACTTTTGCTCTAACAATCAACAAATGACCGTAAAATTAACACTGACAAAATCATGAAAAAGAAAAAGGATTAAAAAGGAATTTTTTCCTTGAACGTATATACTGTAAGAATTCTCGGCATGCGTTTCCTCGCTTCTGACGTCATCAAATAAGGACAGTGTTGCAGTATCAGAGTTTGAAGCAAAAAACTAAGGCCCGTAATCTGAGCGCGCTGACAAGAAACGTGAACGCTCTCAGTATTTAAACCTGTGTTTTAAACATCGTGATGACACTCTCTGTTAGGAAAGCTTGGCAATCACGCGTGCTTATCCGCAAAATTCCTACTCAGGACTAATAAATCGACTTGTCAGCGAGCAAACAACGTCATGAGCGCGTTCAGAATACCTAAAGGTTTCACCACACCTGTTACAGATCAGACTTGAGTAAATGGTGCCACGTCTTACGATGTGTGCGTGAACTGCGCGATTGATTTGCTTATTTGCAATTACAATGATCACACCAGCTGATTTCGACTACAGATATTTATTCACCCACTCGTCATTCACAGGACGTTCATCGTGCAACGTGAGACCATTTACTCGGGACACGCGGCTGCCTAGACACCTTTCTCGTCGGACGGCACGTCCACCTTCTCGGGCTTCGAGAAAGAGAACATGTTGCCGCTTTCTTCGCTCGTGCTGGCTCGCTGCGCTTCGTCCTTCCCCGCGTCGACGAGTGCGGTGACCGACGGCGCTCTCCTTCGGCGCGGGGGGGTCCCGACTTCGCTGTCCTCTCGGAGCTCCCTTCGCTCCTCCGCGACGGCTTCCTCCGCTACCGGCTCCTCGACGATGCTTCTCATGCCGGTCCTCCGGAGCCTTATCCTCAGCTCCTTGTGCGACACGTCCGCGCTGGCCGCTCTCCTCTCCCTGGCGCTGGCCGTCTCTTTTCGAGCCGCGGACCTCGTCTCCCTCGACGGCTGGCTCAGGATGTCCTCCAGCTCCTCCGGTATCGACTGTATCGACATGCTGCGTCTGCGTGTGTTCGCGGCCGGACTGTCGACCATCTCCTTGGCGAAGGAGCTCCTGAGTCGCCTCGGGCTCTCCGAGGACTCTATAAAGAGCTCGGCATCTTCCGGCAGGACCTCTCTCATGATACTGCTGGACCTGCGTTTCCTCCCGGTCTGCACGGTGACCTCTTTAGGCGCTGAACTACCACGTCGAGCTCGACTCGCTTTGACGGCCAGTTCCGTCGTAGGCGAGCCGCCCGTCACCGAAGACCTCCTCGCGCGCACGGACCTCTTCCTCGCGGCCGTGTCCTCCTCGTCGTCGCTCTCGAACCTGCAGCGAGTCCTCGACGGCGCGTCCGCCTCTTTCCTCGCGGAAGACGTGAGCCTCGCGCTTCTCCGCACCGCCGGCTCGTCCTTCGGCTCCGATGGGGCCTCCTTCGCTGCGGATCTGCCGCGACCCTTCTTGGCCGCATCCGAGGAGCCCGTCGATTCCGACGAAGCCGCTGCTCCGAGCCCCTCGCCCGTCGGCGCCTCCTTCGCGAGGGAGCTCGCTCGCCGAGAACGCGGCCTCGCCGGCAGTGAAATGTCCTTCGACGAGTTCGCTCTCCTCAATCGCGCCACCGGCTTCGCAGGATCCGCTTCTCGGGGATCCAGCAACGTGTCCAACGCGATGGAACTCGCGCGCCGCCGAGGCTCGCTCGCCGGCGAATCCTTCGCCACCGAGCCCGCTCGTCGCGCTCGCTGCGCCGGTCTCTCGGTAATCGCCTCACCTCGCGACGAGGAGTCCGACGTCGTCGTGCCGACCAAGTCTCGCGCCGTCGAGCTCCCTCTCCGCGAACGCGTGACCCTCTCTGCGTCCTTCGAGCTCGCTCTGCGCGACCTGGTCGCTCGCACCGGCTGACTCCGCTTCGAGGAACTCGCGGCTTCCGACGGTTCCTCCCGAGACTCGGCCCCCGGCACGGTTCCACCCGAGCCTCTTCCCGAGACGTCGTCTCCCGAAACCCCACCCTCTTCGGGCTGGCTCTTCTCCCGTTGCCGCCTCGACAGCTCCGGCAGCTCGCTGTTCTTCGGCTCCTCGCTCTCCCTAAAGTTACCGTCGGACTCGTCATCCGTGATGTTCGACATGTCGTACAGTACGTTCCCCGAAGCGGCCACGGTCGAGTGCGTCTTCTTCTCGTCGGCGTCGCCCGACTCGAAGACCATCATCTCGTCCTTGCTCGTCGACTCGTCGTCGGTGAAGTCGACGTCGCCCGTTACTCGTACGGACTCCCTCAAACCGTTCGATCTCTTATCGCGTTCTTCCGGGTCCAGGGTGTCCGGCAAGCGGGAGACGGCAACTTGGTCCTCTATAGACAGACTCTTGAACACTTCGTCGTCCTCCTCCTCGTCCTCGTTTTGGCTGTATTGTAACTGGAAGAGCTCCTCGTCGGACTCGTCTGAGGCGGTCGGCCTAGGTTCCGCGACCTTCTCCGGCGCAGGCTGTTCTCCGTCGGTACTCGAAGCCTCCCTCCTCGCGACCCCATTGTCGTACTTGTCTTCGCTCTGCTCGCCTCGCGCGTTCCTCTCCGGACTGTCCTCCATGAGTTCGCTCTTGCCGTGAACAGGCTGCTCGATATTCGAGAACCTCTCGGGCTCGCCCGGCACGTCGAGCTCCTCCCCCACCTCGCGCGTACCTCCCACAGGTGACTTCGATCCCTCTTTCTCATCAACCTCCCCCTCCTCCTTCTCCCCCTCTCCGTCGTCTTCCTCTCTGAACAGCTCGTCGTTGACGCGCCTCTGAAAAACGATCTTCTTCGTCAACGGAGTGGACGACGTGAACCCACTTTTACGATCCCTCTCCACGGAGAAGCTCCAGCGAGACTGCAGGGTGATGCGCTCCAGTTTGCTCATCGAGTAGTCGCTGACATCGCTGTCGGAGGAGAGCATAGTGGTAGAGTAGCCGGCGGACTGCAGTGAACTGCGTCTTCCGGAGGTATTCGTGGCGGACGGCTTGCCAGCTAACGAGGTCGTCGCGGACAAGGACGCGCCACTGGCTCTTCTCGCGTCGCTCGATCCTTGCAGCATCTCCACGGACGATTGTAAGGCACTTCTTCGGAGGCTGGGTCGCGGACGCGGGAGGCAGTAGTTCCTGCTGGAGATGCTGGAGTTGCCGCTGAGGACCGCGCTCTCGCCACACAGCTCATCGTTCGCGTCCGGGCTGAGGAAGACCTCGTCGGCCGAGGAAGCCCCGGCGAACACGCTCTTGCCGTCGTTTCCCCGCTCGTCCTCCTCCTCCCCCACTTTCGTCTCCACCTTCTCTCCCTCTTCACGTTCCTCCTTCGCCTCGTCTTCGTATTGCAAAATCTCCTTCGGCTGATTGACGCTGAATCGTATCTGCCTGCTGGTCTTCTTCGACTGGTTGTCGGCGAACCCGTCCACGAGCTCCTTCTCTTGAAGCGAGCTCGCGAGGTCGCCGGGCGACACCGAGCTCCTGATGAGGCGCCTGATCTTCAGAATCGAGTGCGGCGTCTCGCAGACGACGTCCTTGCTCGCGTTGAACTTGCGCTTCACCAGAGGCGTCGCGAAGCTCAGCTCCGACTCCTTGGCTGGGCCGGTCGACCTGTTCGGCGAGGCGCTCCCGTCGGACAATTTCCGACGTTTCGCGCAGTCGACGTCGTGGTCGTTCGCACCCTCCTCGTAGATCTGATCGACCGTGCGTTTGCCGGCGCGACGGCTCTTGCGCGCCGGGAACAGCACGCAGTTCACGCTCGCGCCGTGGTGATTCAGCCTGAGCGACATGCAGGGCGCGCTCACGAACGGGATCTGACACTTCTCGCCCCGCAGGTAGGTCTCCCGCGCCTTCGCAATCACCGTCTCGTGTATGCCGCGCAGCCGGTCGTGGCTCCTGCAGTGCGACATGGGCCGAGGGTAACGGGGGGCCTCCACGTCCAGGCTGATCGCGGCCGCGTTCGCGGAGAAGCGCTTCGTGATGTCGGGCAGGGTCGTGTTGTACGCGCCGAGCATACTCGACTGGGCGCCGTCTTCGAGGAAACTCGGCTGACGACGCGCGAGGTGGTCGCCACCGATCGCTTCCGTGTACCGACATCGCTGCAGGTAGTACAGCAGCCGCACGTCCTCCGTCTTGTTCTCCTGCAGGAACTTGACGAACACCTCCTCCTCCTCGGAGTCCAGAGCGAGGTGCAGGATCTCGTCGAGCCTGCCGTAGGTCTTGCACGCGCGGAAGAAGCAGGTGAGCAGTTGCTCGTAGTGGCAGGGCGGCCGGCGGTGGAAGGCCGACTGCACCAGGCCGTGCTCCACCGACAGGCTCACGGCGACGCTCTGCTCCTCCACGGACGACAGAGGTGGTTTCCTCACACGAAGGTAGACCAGGGCCAGCTTGTGCTGATTGTTGCGCACCAGAGTGCGCAATATGAACCGGTGATGCCAGTCTTTGACGTCCGAGTCGGACACCAGCTGGCCGGTCATCATGTCGAGGAAGCCTTGGTAGTCCTCGTGATCCAGCAGCCAGAACGCCTGGGTGAGCTTGATGAGGCTGGGGCTCATCTTGAAAGCGGACGGGTACTTGATCAGCTGGTCCACGCCGGGATACAGCCGCTGCAGCAGCATCGCCAAGTCCATCAGTAAGTAGATCGTGATCTGGTGCTTGCAACTGACCTCGCGCGGCTCCGTGTGCTGGCAGTCCGTCAGGTAGCTTCGCAGCAGAGATTGCAGCGATGGCGGTGGATAACAGCCGCCCAGGCCGCCTTCTCTTTCCCACTGTTCCTTCAGCACGGAGCACTCGCGCGTGATCAGTTCGTCGATGAACAGCACCTCCTCCTCCTCGTCGCTACCGCCTTTGCTCGTTCGAGCGATCTGCCCTCGTTTCTCCTTGTAGGACGTCGAGAGCTTTTCGTACGGATAAGGCACTTTCAGCGCTAAGGAGATGGGCAGGGTCTCCTCCTCCAGTTCCTGCGTCTCGGGCAGCAGGCCCACGTCGTAGAACCAGAGGAGCACCTGGAAATACGTGGAGACGCGTTTCAGCGTCCTCCGCTGGGTCGCCAGGTCCGCCGTGCCGAACGGCAACTTCGCCACCACGTTGGACAGGCATTCCAACTGCTGGGAGCAGAAGCGCAAGGTCCTCACGTCGGCCTCGCCGATGCCGCTGCCCGACTGGTCGAACAACGGGACGCAGAGCCGATCGGCGAGTATCTTGATCGTGGAGGCTCTCTGAACGCCCCACTTGAGGAAACTCGGATACAGATACGCCGCGCTACCGTCCGCCCAATCCAGAGCGCACCTCACCAGGAAGGTGGACCATCGTTGCTCGAGGCAGAGCGACAGCAGCATCTCCCGTTGCGCGTTGTAGTCGCTGGCGAAGGAGAATTCCGAGTTGAACGGCACCAGGCCGGCGGCCAGGCACCGGTGAAACGTTTCCGACGGTTGCAGCAGTATCACCGGGCCCGCAATTGCCATTTCGCGCAGCAAATCCGCCTGAACGCCGCGAGTCATCCAGAACGTCAGTCGCGTCGGGCTCAGCTCCACCCACTCGAGCGACAGGGAGTTCGGGTAGAAGAGCTCCTCGGGCGAGCTCGGCCCGTTGCTCGGGAACTCCCGCAAACTCAGCGGCACGTAAGCGAAATTAACGACCGGCCCGTACTTCTCCTGCAACAGGTTCGACCTGACGCGATAAGTCGCCAGGATGCTGTTCGGATTCTGGCACTCGTCGATCGTGCGGGGCATCTGCTCTTTGTACCATTGATTCAGATCGAACAGCAGCGTCCTACTGCTGGTGGAGATGAGCAGCAGATTATCCTCGCCCTTCTTGACGCCCGAGTCGGTCTGCTCCGGATTGGCCTCCCTCTCGACGGTGCACAAACCGACGACCCGCTCGTTCTCGCTCAACTCGAACTCGAACTTCAGACTGGGATCGGCCTCCAGGTTGAAGTACAGGTTTATCCCGCGGTCGCAGTACTTCCTCTCGAACAGCATGGCGTACATCCGCAGCACGGACGGCGCCCTCGACGACGACTCGTCCTGCAACACCGCCCACAGGTAACAAAATGGCCTAGGATCGTCCGTGGGCTCCAGTAAGGCCAGATGCGTGACCGCCATGTTCTCGTCGATGGGCGCACTGATCCACCCCACGGAGCCGTCGTTCTGCCAAATGATCACCCGACCCAGACAGCCGGTGATCAGACAACCGATCTTCGTGGAACTAACGATCGCTGTGGTTAGGTTCTCGCCGAATAACGGGGACGATTCGAACTCTTCTCTATTGAAGCCGATGTATCTTTCTACGCCTTAAAACACCCAATCTCCAGGTGAACAATCGCATCGCAATATTTGATTAATATTGAATATTTAATTGCTTAATATTTTTAAATATTTAATTAATTATTGGCTAATAATGAATGCACGCACACAATTATATTTTGCAATACTTACGATTATTTAGCAGATTGTAAGCCGCGTGCCTCTCTTGACTGAAGCGACGGCCTCTGGCGGGGGCCTGTTTCGCTGACAGATCCATTTCTGCCGGTGACGTTTCATCCATAACAGTAGATAAATCATGCACGTCCCATGTGGATCTTCGGAGGTCGATCATGATGTGCTGAAGGTCACGTAAAACTACACAAGCTATACCATCCATCTCGTTCAGCACATTGTCTGGCCTCTTCTCGTTGAACTCTTCCCATTCCGCGCCACCTGATATAACACACACCTTCTCCACCCCACATGGCATCTATAAGGTACAAATGCAACATTAACTTTTCACCCATGTTATCCTTCTGCATAACTTAACACATTGCGGACCGCTAAGAAATCTAAGACATACGCTTGGGACCGCACGTTTTTGGGCAAACTTGCACGTTACTAAAATCGTCATAACATTTTTATTGATGAAGCAATGTTTGTCAAACTTTCAGAAATTGTAAAATAGGACGCATTTTAGGTATTATTGAAAAAAAAAAATTATGTGTTTTAATAATTATCCTAACTTTTTTTACTTGAAAATAAATTTTTGCGAATTTTTTAAAAATAATGGACGTAAAATAGGATACATTTCAGGTATTATTAAAAAAATTGTTTTTTTAATAATTATCATAACATTTTTATTTAAAAATCAATTTTAAACCAAAGTTCCTAGTACTTTTTTGACACATTGTTGACCGACAATTTTACTTAGAATTTATCTCATGTAATCGGCTATTATTTCGTAATTGGAATGTAGAAGTGAAACAATAAACTTCAAAAAATTTTATTTAATATTTAACTTTTAATATTTCTTTTTGGTATGATAAACGGTGTAGCAATCACCTACGTATAATGGTACACAACAGGCTTTGCAAATGTATCTTGCATCGATCACGAGTTTACTCGTGGCCGGTCAGCAACGTTTGAGCAGGAAGACACGAGTTAACGTTTTTCCTATTTCGTCGTTAGAGGCCGGTAACGACATATCTCGTCTTTCATATTGCGTCGTTAGAGGCCGTTGGCGAGATATCGCACAGTTGCTACTGAATACGACCTCCTGCTAACCATACCCGGCCACTGGGTACGGTTAGCAATAAAATGTCTGGTCCGCAATGTGTCAACAACCAGATATAAGAAATTTGTAATTGAACATATTTAAATACTAAGCACTTAACAAATATGTAGACAGCTCACGAGAAGCACTTGATTGAATATTTTAACAAGGAAATAACACTAGAATATACTCACACGAATTGCTCTTAAGACACGGGACACAGTACAGTCAAATATACACAACAATCCTGAAGAATCCTTTGGTCTGCTTGCATTATTATCTATTCCAATCAGCAGCAACGGCAAATCTCCAGATTGCGTGGGAAATTGGGAGACGGATGTCACAGTTCCGCGAAATGTCCAACTACTAATGCTCTCCCCTGTTTTTGCATTGAAAACTACAAAATGACAATCATAACTCAACCAAGCATACGTCGCATTGTGCAGAAATCCTCCGTAGCAATCATTGGTGTCATTATGTTCTTGAGAAATCGCCGATTGGTTCTGTTCCTCTGCCTCTAAATTTCTCAACCTGTTCGACACAGAGAGCGGAAGGTCCACGGTCCTGCGAATCTGCAGTAAAAGAAAAGAGGAATTACGAGGGGAAATTACAGAAGGGGGAAAGTCATATTTACCAGACAAAATGCCACATTTCCTTAAATTGTACTCGCAGTGAAAAAAATGTTAATTGAGCGCTGCGAATTATTGCGGTTGTACGATCGCTAACGGTAACGACAATTGAATTTTTCGAAACAGCGTATTACCTCGCAGTTGACCTCCTCGAACTCCTTCATGTCTTATGGCAGGCTACCGAAATACCTCACGTGTTGGGAGTTGCATTTAAAAACCGTTCTCGCGGCTCGAAATGAGGTTAGGTTGGCGCCAAATCTCACGATCTCCTCACGCAATCGTCCGACGGGTACATCGATGACGAAATTGCACGCGCGACGGAAGGTAATTTATTAGGAGAACACCGTGACGACGTCAATTTGGAATATTCGTATTACGAAATCAGTATTGTCTCTCATTCATCTTGTTACGCGTGCGAGCATTTTAAAACCGCTACTATACAACTACGAAGTACGTTAAACACTGTTCCCAACCGTTCGTCATTTCGCGATAATACGGGATACGCCGTGCACAGGTTGGCTCATCAATCGCACGATAATCGGTAAGTACAGAATATTATCAAACACGTTGACAAATATGTTAGAAATATTAACAAAATTGAAATATTTCTCGTCCAGTGTCGCGAGTAGTTCGAATAACGGAAGATTTACACTACACTCGACATTCGATTTATGATATCCAATAGGAATAATCAATTTCTAGGGACTTGTGTTAGCGACATTGTGAATGCGCTCGATCAATTTCGTTTCCGTGACGTTTGCAACGTAAAGCGTTGTCTCATCTTCGAAATTTCTCGAAATATTCTTTTCCTGCATTAAAGATTCCTTACCTAAAGTGAACCATATTCGCCGGATGTTTTGCAATATAAACATAGTACCTGGTAAGTGATATCTAAATATTATATCGTTCGAGGAGAGAATTGCAAAGTCACAGAATATATTATCCAAATTTAATCAAATTAGTGACGCTGAGTATGTAAAACTGATCGACACTGAATAAAGCTCATGTTAAAGTTCGATATCTTTTAATTTTTCTTTCCTGTTCCTAGAAAAATCGGTGGAAAATTATAACAGTCCGTGCGAGAAAAAAAATCCACGATAAGATACGTGTGCGAAATTTGAAAAATTTATAGAGAGAATCGTATTAAGATAATATTCGCCGGTAACTTATGTCATTGAGAAATATCGTATTCGTGATAGTCACAAATTAAGAGTTGATTCACGACGTGTCTCGCGAACGATTGAAATAACGGTAGTATTTCGTCGGATTGTCATTTCACTAGACGTTTCTTAACAATTTCGATACCGACTAATATCGCGAACTTAGTACGGAATGCTACCGATAAGCGCTTATCATGAGCGCTTTTGGTAAAAAGTCCTCTTTGACACACGAATCTAGTGTGCTCGTTCAGAACCGCGGTTATTATAGTAATGCGATGATTTGACGTGTGTCTCGATGAGCATTCTTCCATACGCTAGCTTTTCCCTTCAAATTTTCGTTCGTTGTGTAAGTGCTTCGAATGACGAATCTTAATAATTGACTCGATAAAAGTTAATTTGGGAATCTATCGTTATAGCGACTCGGAGAACCTATCTCCGTGATCGTGTTTAAAGTTTTCTGCCAGGTTAAAAACATGCAGCAATTCATATTGGCTGTTAAAAAAAAGATGTTTAACGGTAATAGGACTTTTAAAGATTTTAGAGATATTCTTCATTTCTTTGACGATCTAAAAATATGCAATTTTTAATTATTGTTTGTTTATCTTCTACATATGTATTTGTCAGATTATTCTTTTGGTGTGCAGCTATAACAATTTTGTTTATTTGGTATGATAAAACGCAAACAAATATTCTGTATAAACTGAAATAAGTATGTCAGCAGAATGTATGGATTTTTCAGATGAAAAAATGGCATCCCAATCTAGTGAGGTTGACGAGAACACCAATGACGACCAACAGCAAAAAATATTATCTGCAGAAGACGAAAACTATGACATTGACGAGAGAGGTGACTATATTTTCTTTGGGCCAGCTCACAGGGTCCGAACTAATTCAGAGCCAAAAGCAGGTTCTGGATCAATAACAGAATGTGCTTGTACGTTAACAAAAGATAATTATACCAAGGAAAGCATAGAATCTTTTGACAAGGAAATTGTTACTGAAATAGGTGAGATATATCGCATACCTTACTTTCTATTTTATACGCATATATAGAAAGAAAATCAGATATTTCTGTAAGTTCAAAATATTCTTCTGTTTTCTACTTTCTTGCCTATCGTCTTCTGTCTCAATACTTTTGACTTTTAAAAGAAATAAACATGTTCTCTCTATGTCATTGGCTTACATGATACAATATGATTGTAGTAGTAGAAGTAGCTAATGTTCTAAGGTTTCATGCTCGTGTAAGGTCTTTATAATTTAATAATAAAACCAGCCATTGTGTGCTACTAATATAAGGCAAACTCATAAGAGTACGTTAATATTCTCAAAGAATGCCAGTGCGATATCGAAATAAGAAGAAAGTTTTAAAGCCTCAAGGTATAATTATTGAGGAATTAGATACCTAGATAGATATTAAGATAGAATCATTGAGAATTAGATACTGTACATACCTTCAGGTATAACATATTTGATATGTTTTTACATCGTATTTCCTATACTAAGTTTTAATTCTATATATTTTTGCTGCAGAAAATGAATTTCGTGTGGACTTTGGTATCCAGGATAAAGAATCTCAAATTAATGATGAGGTGAGTGAGATACCAGGAATAAAGGAATATGACCCTACTATTGATGAGAGGTTACCAGAAACTGTGACATTATTAACTACACCGGACGGAGGGAAATTATACCTAATAGGAACAGCGCATTTCAGCGTTGAAAGTCAAAATGACGTGTCGAAGGTAATTAATATATGTACATGTATTTCTTGTTACAATACAAGTATGATTTTGCAAATAACTTAACGTCAATACTTAGCAAGTATGTTATTGAAATTACTTTCTGCAGATTATACAAGCTGTACAACCTCACATAATTGTAGTCGAGTTGTGCAAAGCTAGAGTTGGTATATTGCAACTTGACGAAGAAGCCATGTTTCGTTATGCTAAGGACATTAGTTATCGTAAGTCCATGTTTGTAATAATTCTCAGCTGTCGGTATGCTGTATAACTGCTTGACTCTTTTTAATTTATAGAATGCATTATGGATATTCTTAAAAAGGAAGGTCTTTATAACGGTTTACTGCACATCTTATTGCTAAGAATGGCAGCTCATGTCGCTAAAGAACTAGGAATGCCACCTGGTGGTGAGTTTCGAAGGGCGTTCGAGGAGGTCAGTGTGCATTTATTAGAAGTAACGATTATTCACGTGCGCGATGATTAATGTAATGTTTGATATATTTGTTTCAGGCGAAGAAAATACCAAACTGTATGATTCACATGGCCGATCGGCCTATCAACATAACAATGCAACGTGCACTACGAGCGTTATCATGGTGGCAGACTATAAAACTAGGCTGGCACTTAGCATTTATGAAGAGGCCGATTACCCAGGAAGACGTCGAGTTCTGTAAACAACGATCGATGCTGGACGAAATGATCGCTAGCATGAAAGGGGAATTTCCCGTACTGGGAGAAGTGTTCATCAAGGAGAGAGACATTTACTTAACGTACTCGCTGCAAATAGCTTGTATGCCTCAATTTACATCCCACGGTATCAAACCAATGCGAGTTGTTGGAATTGTCGGTTTGGGACACACACCGGGTATTATCGAGAATTGGGGCAAAGTTCAGCCTACCGATATATCACCTATCCTAAAGTACGTATAAAATTATCGTAACGTACCTTGTATAGAATTTCCCACATTATCGGCGATCTTAATGTTAACGATTTTAAACGATTTAAGAAAAAAGGACTTTTCTGAGATATACTTGCTAAGAAAAAGTTACCGCTTCAGCAGTAATCAAATCGGCCAACTATGCTCGTTCGTTAGAAGAATAATCGATCGATCGTGATTGGCCAGTTTGCTTATTGCTTACGTTTTATGGCAGGATTGAGGATGAACAAAGGATGAATAAATTCATATTAACTTCATATTAAATGAATCGAATTAATTTCACATTGCTCAAGAAATCCACCATTAAGATTATGATCGCGATTTGTAGGACGTTCTATATATTTGGGTATGTTATTACTCGGTCGACCGATCGCTTCGTCTTCTCGCAGAGTACCGCCGCCGTCGATGTCGAGTAAGATCCTGAAGCTGACGGTAAAAGCGTCCGTGCTCGGCGCTGCGATTTACATCAGTTACAAGGTCATAGCGGTGCCCGCTGCTCTCACGTTCCAATCTATCAAGTCATCGGTCGAGGGACTTCTGAAGGTTAGTGCCGCGCGATAGGATAACTCGAGGTTTCACCTAGAAAACCAAAACAAGAGGGGAATTTTGTTTCATTACAAAACAATATCTTTTCCCCCCTTTATCTCGTGCTGCCTTCGTCACGGAAGGCAATCTCGGACCTCCTTGGCTTTCTTTGTTGATATACGTCGATTGCGGTAAGCATGGAAGCGACCGCTTCCAACGACGATTATGAGCACGTCCTAGCCGGCGTGATGTACGTAGTGAATAATATACCGGGACCCGGTGTAGATGTGGTAGACTTCGAGTCGGAATATTCCACAGGCTGTTCGTGCACGGCCGAGTGTCACAGCTGCTCCTGTACACGCGGCTCCGCTAATTATTCCGACGCGCGAATCATCGACGAGAACTCGAGCGTGCCGATATACGAATGTAACGGTAACTGCACGTGCCAGTCGTATTGCGGAAACAGATTGGTGCAAAACGGCCCGCTGAATTGTCTGGTCGTGCGCGAGGCAGCGGGCAAAGGTCTCGGCCTCTTCACGACCGGAACGATCCAGAAGGGCCGATTCATTTGCGAATACGCCGGGGAAGTGATAAGCCTGCACGAGGCGCGGCGCCGTATCGAAACGAATCGAAGACACAACGCGATGAATTACGTACTCGTAGTGCGAGAGCACTACGGTAATCGCGTCGCAGTGACTTGTATAGATCCCGAGCGCTTTGGTAATATCGGACGGTACGCCAATCATAGCTGTGACCCAAACTCAAGCCTCGTCCCGGTCAGAGTGGAGGGAATCGTACCTCGATTATGCTTGTTCGCCTCCAGGGAAATAAAGAACGGAGAGGAAGTGACTTTTAATTACGCCGGTGGACTTGCGGCTGATTCCGTCCATTGTCTCAGTGATACTCCCTGTCTTTGCGGTTCTAACAGTTGTTTCGGTTACTTACCGTATGATCCAGTGTGACGGCACGAGAGAGCCAGCTCTGTAAGATTATATTCACGAACGATATATTATAATGATGAAAAATTTTAGTTTAAAAGCTTGTAAAATTCACATTGCGAGGTCTCTGATCTACCACGAGAGAGTTGTACGGTCAGAATGCCGATGAAAACTATTGTGTGTCTTGAGAAACGCTTGATATCATAAAGTAGGTAGTAAGGTACATTGATCAAAATTCTCGCGAAACATATAATTCTATGACTGGTCGTACGTAACGGAATCTTAAACATACATTTTTCAAAGTGTTTTTACTTGGACATGTATATATATGTATATACATATAAACATGTATGTACATACACACGAAGAGAAAATGTCCAATTATACTGGTAACATCATATGTATCCCAGTCGCTTCCCCTGCTTGTTAATCGATTCTTCTCTGTAATAGATCGATGCTATCAATTAGTATACGGAATATCACGTATGTATTAAGCGAGATACCCTGTATATTTTCACATTGCTACGTCGAGCTGTAATGAAATTTGGTGTTTTAGGTAGTTATGCTATTTATTATTTTATATTTTATTACGAATGGAATTTTATATTATTCTTATGTGCAATAACATCTGAATTAAAATTGAGGATTATTTCTATCATATATATGTGTGTGTGTGTGTATAATACATTTTTAATTAGAGTATATATATATACTCTAATTTAGAAAATATATATATATGTGTGTGTGTATATGTAATATATTTTAAATTAGAGTATATATATATATATATATATAAGGTGTGAACGAGCACGTTGGTAGTATTGTTTTTGCGTTGTCATGATATGTCAGTATGTATATAAATAATGTGCCAACAGAGAAAGAATATACGGCGTACTACTTTCCCAACAGTGGTATTTAGCTAAAAATATCTAGAAAAATACATTTTGTAGTCAAAATAATATGTGTCCTGCCCGATATTATTATTCTTGATTACGCATAAACGAGACGCAAAATAAGTGATAATTAATGCAACCAACGTGAAGTGTTCAGTTTTCAAGAAAGTAGACATTACCAAAAATCGCCAATTAACGATATTCAATAATCTGCTTCTTATTGAAACAAACAAACAAACAAACAGCGAATCAAACGTTTCTTCAATTATAGAGAACTAGAATTAATACATAAAATATTATTATACGATATTCATATCAGTCGTATTGTAAGAGTTTTAATAATATAAATGTATACAGATATTTATATATAGGCATAGGATAAATATGGATTATGTAACATCGAGTTATTGAAATTTACAGCTTTTTGATTGTTAAACAAAATCAATAAGATGCATAATACAGTATATTAATGCCAATGTGAGGACAAAATAGCATGAAAATTATAACTTTGCGTTACGAATAATCCGTTACAATTTGATATGAAGTATATGGTATAAATTTATATTTTTCCTTCTTTGTAATTATGTGGATATTTTTATAAAGAAAATGGTAGATGCTTGTTTATACTATACCAATGAATATAATTCTCCATACTGCCTTTAATACATATATATATATATATATATATATATATATANCTTATAAAGTTAATTACGTTTATTGCACAGAGTAGCATTAAGTATCGTATTTATATGCAAATATCGCCATTTTAACTTAAGATCAGATTCATTCGTTTTATTTTACCGAGATAAATTTTGTATGGTATGATTACTTATTTTTTCATAATTAACTGACCAAATTTCGATCGATGTTGTCTCAAGAAGTTGTGTAAAATTGATCACATAACGTGTACAAAGTCACTAAATTAATCGAAATCTGTAAATTATGTGAATGGCAAGGATGGTAAATAGTTATATGTTGACAATAAAATGATGTACACTTTATGACATAGCAATATCTATCTAATTACTTCTCATTACCATACATACATAGGATGTGTAATTAAATAATTTAATTTAGCGGATTATGAATCAACTGATATTTTATGTGAACGGTTTATTTTAATATCTTATTAACGGATTAGTTTGTAGTGTAGAGTCAGTCCATAATAAAAATGCAAGTCATCTATTACAATTTCCTCACTGTAACGGAGGAAAGAATAGTAATTCTAATAAATAATATAGTCATTACACAAGATATAGAATCTGAGAAACCTCCATCGAAAGTCGATTCATTAATGCGATTTGTAATATAAAACTGTAACTGAGATACGTGTGCATATATATTACTATATATCTGTAAAAACTTTATGATAAATATAAAAGAACATTCGGTAGTGGCAATAAATTCCTAAATTTTTTTGTATTAATGACAACTTATACAATCATAAAGGGAATTTAAGCACTTGAAAGTGAGCTTATAAATTAAATCGATACGATAATTAAAATTCTTTGCATCAACAAGTAAACTTGTAATTAAAAATGGTTAATTTTTAATTTATGCAACATTCTTTACAAATTGTTCGACTCTACACTAACTAGTTTCAATTAATACATAGTGAAGAAAAAAGTATTTTTTATACTTATTAAGTACGTATTTGTACATCATACATTTTTCACTCTATCTTTTTATTTATAACTATAATTTATATAATAGTAATTTATGTAATACGTATTTAAAACATATGTACATATGAATTTCATCTATTACACAGTAATATCTTTAAGATCTATTTTAATGAAAAAAGATTATGATGTACAAACACATTTTTTTGACTCACTTTAATCGTGATATTCTGCAAACTTTTATACATACAATAACGACATCTTAACGCGTAATAAGCGTCACATCATACGCGATCATTTTAAGGCGTTAATTATTTCGATGAAACTTCAAACTAAAATATTTGGTATTAGCGCCGATTTATTAATTACTGTGCATTGGCAGCAGATATTGGTTCATCGTTAGGTTGGTACCTCCATCGCCACCACGCTACTTTCATTCGATCCCAAATATTTTCCCATGAATCCATAGCGGGCCGTACATCGAGTAGTGCAATTGAATAGTTCTCGTAGACTCTATCACCTTCGTAATAATCAATAACGTATCTTACAGATTTTCCACAACGATCCACGACCCAGTCATGTCGATCAAATGGCAGCTTATATCTGAAAAAATATCACTTCATTATATAAGACCCTGCGACAATATAAATTATTTTTTTTAGCTGTTCCAAATTGAATTTTTGTCTTTAGAAATAAGTACAAGTAGCCAAGCGTTGAAAGGAAAAGAAACGAAGCTTCAGTGCAGCTAAAAAACAGGTTTACATGTATTACTTGAAATGTGTAATATTCTAACAAAAATGTTTGATGAGAGCCATTATTTTGTTGCAATTTTCCAATTTCTAGCATATGTTCGCGTGTATCTAAGTTTCGAACTTAAAGTCTATTAACTTTTATTTAAGAGATATGAAAAATCATTTAATTTACTTTTGACTCTACAAAGTATGATATATTAGGAGTAAACTGTCTCAATCATTTATAACTTAAAGCTTACTTATGCTTCGATATTTTTGCAAATAAACTGATTCTACATTAAAGGGATAACTGAGAAAAACTCCATATAGTTTGGAATCATGAAAATAACTCACCCCATCCAATAACGAATACGTGCACGTGGAGAATATTTCTTCGCGTTCCCGGCAAAACTGAGCAATTTAGGACTGCAGCATTCACGTGCATGAAGAGCTTCCCACTTGAGAACCTCCTTCCATGCTTGTTCATTGTTAATATTATGAATTTTTACTATAATCTCCATAATTTGTGGGTTAATATCACTTTCTTCCCATCGCCATCCCTTTCTCAACATAGCATTCCAAAACATCTGTTGAGAAGGATATAACCAGGTTTCATCTCCAGGTTTAGTCGCGTTTGGTATTGTCGATGCTTCTCTATCAGTTGGCAATGAGAACGGTTGACCTGGAGAAGGTTGTTGATTTGCTGGTGGCATCTATAATTATGCATCATTCATCAGTGATTAAGAAAGATTAATATTGTTGGATTAAACAATCTTATTAATTTATAAAATAATTCTTGTACTGTTCATACCATGTTTAATGGATTTATATCACTTGCGTCCATTTTATCTATTGGACATTTGCTGGTATAATCTATAGTATTTAACTGATTTGGTTTGTGCATTGGACATTCTAGCGGTGGATTACTCAGAAATCCTTTCATATTGCTAGGTTTGGCAGCTTGTTCAGATGCTGGTGCTATTACATTAGTGGCTGACACAGATGCCACAGTAAGAACGTTACCCATTTTAATTGACGTTCTTCTATAATGAAGAAAAATAGCAAAAATACTACAAAAGCAAGTGATATGAGTGTTTATAATGTGTAACAGATAATTGGCAAAATTCAATAAAGATTATGCAATGAATACATTCTCTAACATCACACAATATGAAGATATTTGTGCATGAAACACGTTCACAATATATGGCTAACTATCTTTTGTGTTTTCTGTCAAGATTACTGAAAATTATCAGTGATTTCACTTCGCGTGTGTTGACTTTTGACGTATATAATTAACAAAATCGTAATTCTGGCGATTTACGATACGATTACGATCCCTATTTCGCGCCTCGAAGTTTTTCACATAAACATTACATAATGAACGTTAAATGCACGAAAAATCTACGTAAGTTATGCATGATACATATAAGAGAAATGAAATACCTGAATTTTTAACTTACCTAAAATGCGAACACGTAAACCACCCGAATCCAGAATTCGAAGCGTTTGAAATGATTGACTGTGGCAGGAATCGTACGAATAGTAAATGGACAAATTAGATGGTCAATGCATCGCACCTTTTCAGACTCGATACAAACTCTTGCGCCATCTTATAGACCGACGGCAACATTATTTGGATTGATCTCAGAGAAAAACCTAAAAGCAACCACGCCGGCAGCGTTTTCCTTGGTACAGTTTTGTTCGACTGTTTGATACGCCATCTGCATCCACTTTCACGTTGGAACTATTTAGCTACATCCACTTTCTGGCACTGCCGATAACGCTTCGATTTGGTGCGTGTCCGTGCTACGTCCACAATGTCTGTGGATGAGAAACGCGACATCGTGTATGGACGTACGTATATTCTGTTCGAAATGTGCGCATCATTCTTTTCCTTTTACTTGCAATATTGTTATGAAGATATTAGATCTGTTTTTTTTCGCTACACTAAAACTGCACTAGAACTGCACTGAACTGAACTGAACCGCACTGGGAAAGACTAGTACAGAATAGTTCAGTTCAGTGCAAAAGTGCAATGAAGAGGTCTGTTCGTTTTCGCCGCACCGCTGAAACGCTAGAGTGTAGTAAACAATATGGCGCATCACATGGCATTATTTGATTCTTCTGACGAAAAGGATTTTGTTGTAATACAACCACTATTACATAGCAAATTTATTAATAATTTATAATATTATATACCCTACCGATCATAAATTTAAATAAATGACTAAATATAAAATAAATTATCTAAGTAGATTTAATTATAATCTAAGTAGATGCTTCGATTATATTTGCATTTGATTTTTCTGTTTTCTATAACTGCGACACTAGCTTATATTACGTACGAAATAGCGTTCTTTTCTGTTTTCCTATTTGTTCCCAGACAATGTCCAAAATCGGGACATAAGACGTCTTTTAGACGTCTTAAAAACATCTTAAAGACGTCTTAGATTACGACATCATAAACACGACTTCAAGATGTCTAAAAGACGTCTCATGTTCCGATTTTCGACATTTCTGCTGTCTGGGCACAATAACATGTTTTATTATAACAATAATAATTATTATTATTATAATAATATTTCCAATTATACAATAATACTTTTGGGAAATTAAAGTATTGTAAGTATAACCACGAGACGTGTCAATTGCCATAAACAAATTACGATCGCACGTTGGCCCAATTACGTAACGTCACCTTGAAGAAATGCTACTTTGCATTATGGCGAATGCAATACCGAAATCAAGATGGTCAGCGTCCACATCCAATTTTGGTGTTTCATCTATTAGCTCGGTGCGAGTTGAAACCTTGCGCGAAAACCACGTTGCCGTTCAAATTAAGCAAGAAGGGCATAGCGGCCGGAAGGTGTATCTTTTTATTCGAAGGTATAACGAAAAAATCTTGGCATGCGTTTTCTCGTTTCTGACGTCATTAAACAAGGACAGTCATAGCGGTTACGCCGGAGTCTTAACAAATGATTGTTATTATCTGTATATTATTATGCCGCCTTCGTTTCTCTCTTCTTGTTGTCATCATGGATACGCCTTTTCTTCCGCAGAAGCCAGACTGCTTTACGCCTCTCTTCTCGACTCTTCATCATACTTCTGTATAGGTTTCGATGTTTCTTTTTGATCATCTTCTCCCTAAGACGATACTCCTGCTTCTGCCGTTGGGCTTCCTCCCATGGATTTTCCTTTGTGATCTCACCAACCTTCACCATCATCTTTTTCTTCTGCAATTTTATATACATATACAAATTAATAGTATTCTCTTTTGTTTTATCAATCTTTAAATTACGATTACGAAAAGTCGTGATGATAAAACCTTTTGTAATTGGGCCTGTTTCTTCTCGTTTTCAACAGGGGTCTGTACATCATCATCGGCATCTTCTTTATCTTCCTCAGTTTCTTCGTTACTTTCTTCACTTTGGTCGTCATTATCACTTTTCTCTTCTTCATCTTCGCTCTCCTCTTCATCATCATCTACTGCTTTTTTCTCTAAATCTGTTTCCACTGAAAATCCAAATATAAGTTACATTGAATTATGGCTTTTAGAAATGTATGTGTACTTATTCAAGATAAAGACCCTACAATCATTTAGTTTATAATCAGGATCCATTAAAGCACGTTCTTCCGGTGGGATATAAGTCTGATCTTGTTGTGCGTCTGTGAACGGCGAGAGATGAGGAGGAAGAACAGCACCCATTAAATATTTCTCAACGGGTAATAATTCCTTTGAGTTCACACTGTCGAAAATCCACTGCGGTTGTACGTAAAATCTAGAAAGGTTATATCAGTACCTCCAAAAGAAACATATGTTTGTCGGAAAACATCAAATGTAACACATGCACGTGTTGTACCTCGATATGTATTGCTTATCCATTTGGGGCCTATCTACAATCTGATGAGTTATCGTTTCGTCTTCCTCATCGAAAGTAGCACCAATGAAAAGTGATTTATTCCAAGATACCTCTCCACCGAAGCAACGTATGATAAATACGAGCGGTTCCCTAGGTACCTCTCTATTTATAAAAATTTTCTTGCCACTGAACAAGGTTTTCAACTTTCGTATTTTCTCAGCTTCCACTCTAGCAGCTTCCATCTTGGAAGAGTCTGCCTCCTAATGAATATATTTTCTTAATGATCTACGTAAATGTAACACATATATAAGTAAAAAGATTAGTTGCTTAAACTTACATTTGAGAAATTATCGATCTCCGTTTCTTCATCTTGAACAGCCTGTGAAGGATTTAAACTGACCAATGATACATTCAACGCACTTATTCTTTCTGATGCAAATGCTTCTTCATCAACCAGTGCTTTTTCCAAATTTCCTATAAAGGAACATTAAAATAAATATATGTAAATATAAATTATAAAGAAATAATAAGGAAAATAACGTAGTAAAAAATAAAATGATTTTAAGTTAATTTCATATGTAATCTTACCAATATTAGTAAATTTGGGAGGATAATGCAAATTAAGACTGTGATATAGTCTGTAATTCACAAAACCAAGCATCACAATATAAAATTCCACAAATGTAGACATAACTTTGAAATCGACTTCATTCTTTGCTTGAGGTTCAAAACAAAAATGATGTGGCACTATCCATGTTACAGTTTGCCCTCCTAGTTCTGCCTGATAATAATATCCTTTGATGGATACAAATACTTTACGTAATGCTTTAGCTGCAATTACAGCATGAAGAAATTCAATTGTCAATCTTCTACATAATAATGATTGATCTCTTGGAATATGAGGTAATGATGGAAATGTGCTAAATAAAAAGCAAAGGGTCAGACAGTCATCTAAATCTCGCAGAGCATCTATAAATGTTGGATAACGTTCTTTAACTATGTGATCCAGTTTTAACGTAGGATGGTTGTTTAAATATCTCCTCACTTTGGCAAAATCTCTCATTGCTTTTGCCCTTCCAATTTTCCTGTTGAATATCTATCAAAATATAAATTGTTGTATAACAAAAGTAATGATAATTGTCAAGTATAGAAATATAAATATTCAATTTTAATAGGCTGCTGTTTCATACCTTATAATCTCGTAGTTTTAATAGGATTGGCTCATGCATCAGAAATTGAATATCTTTCTTATGGTATAAAGTCTTAATACCAGGTTCCCCCTTCTGTGCCCTTTTACGGTTACGTGGTTCCCGCGGATATATGCCTTTTAAAATGCATACTTTACGAAAATCGTTTAATGTTAACTGCAATTTTCTGAGGGCGGCTCTCCTTGTTATAAACTGTGCTCCCTCGCCAACCTGATACTGTAAATTAATGATGCCGATTTTAATACGTAGTAGCATTATTCAATTGATAAAATATTAATACAACGAATGTATATACAGAAGAAATGAAGAAAAATTGATTCATATCTCTTACCTTCTTTTTGCCTCTCACAACCATTTTGATATATTTCAACCTTATGCCTAAATATTAAAATGTACGAAGTATGTTAAATTCACAAAAAACAATACCACACGTGTCTAAATGCAGAGAGAATCGCGCATGAGAGCGGCCACGCCGGCGTTTTCCTTGATAACGTTTCACTGTTTGATACGCCATCTACATCTACTTTTACGTTCGAACTATTTCGCTGCATTCACTTTCTTACACGGTGGATATATCCCCAAAATAACATTTGTAATCGATTCAGCATACTTGTAAAACTGGACGAACACTTTTCTCTTACTCGAATAATCAATAAATAGTCGCAAAATTAATTTGACACGGAACCTTCTTTTCCAACCTCTTTTCTCACGATTTTGTCAATGTTGATTTTACGATTATTTGATTATTGATTGACGACTATTGATTAAACAAAGACGGTCACATCGACTATTCCGGAGCTTTAAGTAAAATGAATATTTGACAATAAAAGAACATTGAAATAAATAATGAAAAGTAAGATTTGGTTCGCATGTATAGATATCATACTGTAATTTGTATATTGAGCGCGGGCGTATCAGACAGCACATTGGTCTGTGTTATATTGAAGTTTCCCAGTGGTGGTTCGCCTCTCGGTGGAACCAAAATATTTTCATAAGCTCATGTTCTCCTCTTCGATGTACTGGCAATCTATCAAGAATATCTCTGACAAAAAAGCCTCACAAAAATTGCCGTTCTGAATCGGCGTTAAAATTGTAGGTTCCATATAGTTATGTACAATATCTACGTACGCACCACACTTTTATGCGAATGAGGTTCGGACAACGTGAAAAGACGTTCAAAACCAAGATATATATATATATATATATATAATATGTATATTATCGGAATGAGTCCATTTAAAGTATTATAAGCTGTTATCTCTGAAAATACGCATCGGAAAAAAATTGTTAAATGAAAACGAATATTTTATAAGATATTTTATATCTTATGCTGAGAAAGATCTGAATAAAATGTATATCTTGGAAAATATTCACTTTCCGATGATCTTACTCGGATATTTTACGCAGGATAAACCGAAGAATCGATAGTGTTAAACAAATTATATTTTGTTTACAAAATTCATGACGACCTTGATATGACCTTGTCATATCTATCCAAAGTTAAATTAACATCCCTATTTTTTTCTCTTCTTCAAATAACTTTTATCTAAAAGGTTTTTTATTATTATACGTATTTTCAGAGAAGAGCGCGAGCGTGGCATGGTAGACAGCGCACTAGTCTACTATGCTTAGAGGTCCGGGTTCTATCCTCGGCAGAACCAGAAAAATTTTCTCATACGCTCGTAGCTCCTCTTCCGGTGAGCTTGGCAAAAAGCCACCAAGAAAAGTAGTATAACCACACATGCCGGGAAAACTTCTCTCCAACTGCCGTTCGGAACCGGCGTTAAACTGTAGGTCCCATATGCATGTGTACAATCTGGGTGCGCACCACATGCATATGTAAAAGAGAAGAAAGTAGGCCAAATCTCAGACATGATGAGAGTAGTGCCATGGATGATGATGATTATTTTCAGAGAAAGTAGCATGTAACGCTTCAAATAGCCCCCCACCCTGTATGTATATCTTGTACGTAGCAGGCAAAATGTACGAGGGCAGTCCGATAAGTACTTTAGCCTACAAAAGAAAAACGAAAATTTTGGAAAAGTGGCGATTTATTTCTCAACATAGTCTCCTTTCAGCTCGATACACTTGACCCAACGATGCTCCAATTTCTCTCTAACCTATCTGAAAAATACGTTTTCTCGAAGTCTGCAAAGTAGACCTCCGTGGCGGCGATGACCTCCTCATGAAAGCGGAAAGGATGATAAACGCATTGGGAACCATACGGCACGTTTATTGGCGGCCAATGTAATCTTATCTTTGTTACAATAGCGCTTGCCCGAAGTCCGTCTGTTTCCCAATCATATAATTAAAAAGAGAAATTCGTAATTTCCGAGACACCTAGGACGTAACAATACTTTTCCTTCATACATAAAATGCTTCTGCATACGTGTGTAAACGACTATTTCTTTTTATACCTTAAACTTATATTAAAATACTTTGATCACACACACACACACACACATACACATTAGTTAATTATATATATTTTATGTCTAACCTTGTTTTGTTTAAAGCCAGCGACACACGCGAAGCTTGTTTTTATGCTGGATTGCTCGCTGGATAGAAATATTGCGTTCTGATTGGTGCATTTCCAAAAACGAATGACAATACATCAATCAAAACGCAGTATTTCCAACAACATTTTAAATGTAAAGCGCTTCTGTCGCTTCTGTCCTTGAATTCTCGTTTATCAGGCTGCATACGTCATACGATAACTTAGAACCCTGAAGCGGAGGTCAGTAGTTTATGGACCTCGGCGGAAGATTCATTCGTTCAACACGTCGCTTAGTGTTTCCATTTAATAGAGACGATGTCCAAGAATTTCATCAATTCGATACAGGATGCTGTGCCCGAAACATTATCAGGATTATGTTATACTTATCCGCAATTAAAATACGAACCATCGCACAACGTTGTACTGTCGTCAGATGTATGTATGTTCGGTTTGAACTCTTTTTTTTTTTTTTTCGACATAATTCGGAACGCAACTAATAGTATGATGGGAGAACATGAAAAAACCAATCGAAAACAAGTTCTCAAATCGTTTTGCAATCATGTACATTTTCACTTGCTAATTACACTTGACAGTGAAGTAAGCTATTATCTAACAGTGATCGTTATATTTGACCAATAGCGTATCGAGAGCTTTTGGTAGCCAAGCGCGTTTATTCCTTTCTTTGGCGTTTCTATAAATAAGTCAACAATTTGAATAATTTATATCGCGAATAAAAAACTCCCTTTGAGAACGAAAGTAAAAATACAACCGTAGAGCACAATATTTCGATTATTAACAGAGACCTAATAAGTGAGGTATATTAAATTGGATTTTATGCGGATTTTATAAACATTGCGATACAATAATTTATAAATGTTTTTAAATTGTTATTCAATAATACTTCTAAATGTTAAAATCGTAGTATAGAAATATTGAGCGCGAGCGTGGCATGATAGGCAGCGCACTATCTATGTGTCTCAGACAAATTTTATCATACGCTCGTCGCTCCTCTTCGGTGGTCTGGCAAACCATCAAGAGTATTCCCATGCCACGAAAACTTCTCTCCAACTGCCGTTCGGAACCGGCGTAAAACTGTAGGTCCCATATGCATGTGTACAATCTGTGCGCACCACATGCATATGTGAAGAGAGAGAAGTAGGCCCAGGCCCCAACAGAGGGCTGTAGTTGCCAAGTAAGAAGAAGAAGTATAGAAATATGATTTGTAATGCTTGGATCAAATATTGTTAACAATGATGTTGTACATAACATTAATATATTTGAATATAAACTATATATTTGAAAGTTATATGTTATAAAATATCACTGTAATAACGTTAATGATTTCTTGCTTACTGGGGAATTATTTTACATATTCGAAACTTTATAATACTTTTAGTAACATATTATTTTAAATTTTATATCTTCATGCCTTTTTATATTTTCTTTGCTCAAGCTGTCGAACATGATTGAGAAGATACTTTTATAAAATTAATTCTCAAAATAAAAATTTTTCCCTCTCTTTCAGTATGAAAGTCGTACAGACAAAGTAGCGTTGGTTTGCGGCGGTGGTAGTGGACATGAGCCATTTGCCGCGGGTAATTTATTTGTATTATTTTTGCTTATTTACTTGATACCTTGTGTAGAGCAAATTACGTACGAGGATGGTTTGAAGAGTATTTTGATTTGGGTGCTCATAGAGGACATAAGCAATAACTGTATATACGGTTATATAGTTCCTTTTCTTGTAATAACCCTCGCGAAATTTCAAGTCATTCTGTCATTAATTCTGTTAACGTACGTTCTGGAAGCCTGAGAGTGGCTGTCATGTCAGAAACTATCGATAAAGTCTATGATATGATATAGTTTTGTCCGACAGGCGAGTAAAAGTGCGCAAGATCGCAGAGATACCATCTCAACTGAACGAATTTATTTCATTTTATATGAATTGGATATGAAAAAAGATAGGTTTTTTCGCAAGATGGGTGCCGCGTTTGCTCACTGCAGAACAAAAACGAACTTGTACTCTATAAGCGCGTAATATTCCTAGAATATTATATGAGTATTATTATAATTTCCTAGAATACTATATGAATATTATTAAATATTAAAATAATATTCTTATAATATTCTAAGAATGTTATGTTATATTTCTTTAATATTATAGGAATGTTCTATTTATATTATACGTCCATTTTACATAATATTTTCGGCATATTATAAAAATGTTCTCAGAATATTGAAAAAATAAAATAATATATATATTTTCGATGGGATTATGTTGAATAATAAAATACTTTATGAAAGATTGTTCTCTTTAATATCAAACTAAGTTACTCTTCAAGCCACCTTCGTAGATCAACGTATGAATATCTTCCAATTTCGATGTAAACGTATTTTTTATCTGCGACAGCGTTGCTTTTTTTTCCAGGCTTTGTTGGAGACGGCATGTTGACGGCTTCTATAGCGGGATCCATTTTTGCAGCTCCACCATCTACTCACATCACATATGCTCTTCAGTGCGTTGGAAAAGCCAATAAAGGTTTCCTTTTCTCGAAATAAAACAGTTTTCTCAAATGTGTTTGAACGACTTAAGAATGCCCATTTCTTTCTAATTTGTTTTCTACCCAGCGAGAAACGAATCATCGAATCGACGTCAATTCGACGTCGATTAAATATTAATTTCTTGCTGGGTAAATACTGGTAACACATTTTATATTAAATGGTCCAATTATCATAGCCTATATATCTGAATATCAGGAGTAAAAGTGGAATTCACATTTTCTTTTAATGCTGAGAAAATTTTTAAGGGATTTGTATTGAACGTAAGCAATCCCAGTATCTTATTAGTGTCTCTTTTCAGCTGGTGTTCTAGTTGTGGTGCCTAATTATACGGGGGATTGTCTGAATTTCGGCATAGCCATCGAAAAGGCTCGGCAGACGGGCATCAAGGTAAATTAAAAAGTATTCTCTGTTCACGCTCTGTAAAAACAAGTCATTTTCGAGACACACTAAAATTGTGTGTGTGTGCGTGCACGCGTGCGCGCGCGTGTGTGTGTGTGTGTATAAAAATTAAAACAGAAATTTAGGAGAGGGGGAAGAAAAGACCTATTAGATGTATAAATTAATTGTTTTTGCCATAATTTTGATATTCATTTATTTAAAAAAACGAATAATTACCTACTCTTCAAAGTAATCTCCCTCACTTTCTATGTATTTTCGCTATCTCTCATTTCAGTTTGAATAAGTGCCGTAGTCGATTTAATGTAGGAGCCGAGAATTAATTTACACACTTAATAATTCATTTTTTGAAATCAACATTTTATTCTTTGCTAAGACACGCGTGAGTGCGTGTTTTAAGAAGAATTAAAGAGGTCTGATCTGTGTAAAAATATTTCATATGTATTATCATAATTATATATTTACAATGATATTAATTTGTTATTTCTTTATGTGATAACAGGTGGAAGAAATAATTGTTGGCGATGACTGCAGCATTCCGGAAGGTGAACAAGGTATTGCCGGTAAACGCGGCCTGGTGGGCATGCTGTTCGTTATCAAAATCGCGGGTGCTCTTGCCAAGAGAGGATCATCTTTGAACGAAGTGGTAGAAATCGCGCGACATGTTTCGCAAAATACGGCAACGTATGGAATCGGGTTAACCGCCTGCGCTATACCAGGTACATCTCTTATCGTCGTGCATGATAATCCGAATGAATTAACATTTATATTTTAAATAATATATTTTAAATAATCCAGAAAATGTGTTCCCTTTTATTATATAGCACTATGAAATCGGGGCTTAGTTCTTTATGGTCTCATACCGAAAATTTGATTTGAATGAACCTATTGATAATTTTCCAGCAAACATGACGTGATAATAACGTCATCATGTTTGCTAGGAAATTATGAATAGGCTCATTTAAATCAAATTTTCAGTATCAGACCATGAAGAGCCAAATATTGATTAATGCCGAGAAAATTAATAGTACCGTATAATAAAAAGAAATAAATGCAACAATTATATTGATATAAATCGAATCTTATACATTGTCAGTATTTCAATTTAACGTCCAGATGTTTCGGCCGACTTCGACCCTCTTCAGTAGAAAGAATGACAAAAAAATTCATATACAATTGTAAAATTTAAATTAAAATATTGACAATATGTAAGATCCGACTTATGTCAATATAATTGTTGTATTTATTTCTTTTTATCTTATGACATTATGAAATCTGTGCTTAGCTCTTCATGACCTGATACTGACAAGTTTATATTTTAATTTTTAACGTTTTTTTTTTTTTTTGAGAAAACCAACGACCGATTTTAACTATTACATCCAAATGAAGCATGAGCAACAGTAAAATTATAGTTTAAAGTTTCAGAAAAAACAAGTCGTTTTTCCTATATTTCGTGGATTTCTCCGGTTTCTGTCTCAAAGATACAAGAATTCTTTTAAAAAGATTCACGCGTGTTCGGTTAAAATCTACTACATTTACTGTTTTTAAGGAGGTAAGAAATAAAAAAATCTGTGGAAAATTTGGGAAAAAATATTTTTTTCTATAATTTTAAAACTATAAGTAAAAAATCTGGAGAGATATTTAAAGGGCAAAATATCGCTTTGCAGGTCAAGAATTGATGTTCCAGCTTGCACAGGATGAAGTAGAATGCGGAATGGGTGTACACGGAGAGGCGGGTTACGAGAGAATCAAGCTCGGGACTGCGTCGAAATTGGTGTCAATGATGTTGGAGCGCATTTGCGAGACTTTAGCTTTGGCCGCCAACAACTCAGTCGCCGTAATAGTTAACAATTTCGGCGGCTTAAGTCAATTGGAGCAAGGGATCATCGTTCATGAGGTTGTGAACCAGCTTCGTGAGTAACTTGGTCTCGGTCTTCTTCTTCATTGTGCGCGTATTATTTCGCTGTGACACACGTGCGAATTCTGATAAAGAACTGTTTATCGAAATAGCCAGCTGGCCAAATCTATATATGCAAAATTGGCTGTAATATCTTCCGTAAATTTTGTCGGCCTTATAACTTGTATCGTCCGATCAGATGTAAAAAGTAATAAGAAAACATGCAAACGAAAAATGTCGAATTAACGGCTGTTTTGCTATCGCTACTATAATATTGATTATTCAAATTTTTTCTTTTATATTTTCACTTTCAAAAATCGATGAGGGGCTCGCTGTGTCCTCTCCTTGTCGAATACTAGGATATTTATACCTCTTGTTGCAGGATACAGGAGTATAAACGTTATTCGCGTTTATTCGGGCACGTTGATGACATCGTTAAACAGCTCCGGCGTACACGTAAGTTTGCTGAAGTTAAATGAAAATCATGAAAATATGTTCGTCGAATATCTTGACGACATAACGGCAGCGCCTTGTTGGCCGAATCGCAGCTGTAACGTCCCTTCGACCGCCATCCGCGCCCCATCTGAAGACGCAACGAGAGAGATAGCGGGGAAGATAGGAATATCATTGAACACGCAAGAACAATGCTTGACGAAATTATGTTTGGAAAACGCGTGTGTGGCTATCAGCGACAATGAGGAGTATCTCAACGAACTGGACCGCGGTTGTGGAGACGGAGATTGTGGGTCGACGATGAAAAGACTCGCCGACGGTAAAATACTTAACGATATGTGCGCGTTCCATCGTTTCCTCTTTATTCAACTGGATGTACACAGATCCGTTCATTTATCATCAATTAAATGCTGTATTAATTATGTATGTTTATTGATACACACAATTCTCCAGGTGTCTTGAATAATTTGAATAAGCTGTCCTTATCACATCCAGCAACATTGTTATCGGAAATAGCGAGTATAGCGGAAACATGTATGGGCGGAACTTCTGGAGCTCTATATTGTTTGTTTTTCACGAGCGGTGCAAAAGAACTGGCGTTATGCAGACATGGGGAAGATAAGCGGCGCATGTGGTTTCTTGCATTCTACAGTGGCTTAAAATGTTTAGAGAAATACGGAAAAGCAAAAGTTGGAGACAGGACTATGGTTCGTATCCTTTTTTGTGCATTTTTAAAGCACAGTAAATCAGAAAGTATCTACACATATCATTCTTCTCACACATAAAAAATAATATACATTTGTATTTTTTTTTATACGAATATTAAAGAATATATTCTCAATTGTATACATTTAGATCGATACGATGGACGCTGTGTGCACGATGTCAAGGAAAATATTAAATGAACGTGCGAGTGATTTTTACGAAAAAATTGTTACAGCAGCGTGGGAAGGATGCAATTCTACGAAAAACATGAGACCCAAGTAAGTATAAATCGTAATGGATCAAGCATCATTTATAATGTTGTATTTCTAATTGAATAATCCCTAGTAAAGCACAATTCACTGACGATACATTGGTCCAATATTGGTTATATTGGCATTGGGAGGTACATTGAGTGAATTTTGCCCGATATAAAATCAATCAGACAGCCAAATCTGCAAGAGCAGATTTTACGTCGTATCTGCTGAAATAAATTTTGTCGACAGCCTGCTGGCAGAAATATAATAGGATTTGTTTGCAGAGCATGATAAGAGATTAATCTATTACTATGCTCTGCCAGCTCAAATCTTGTTATATTTCTGTTAGCAGGCTGTCGACAAAATTTACAGCAGATATTACGTCTGCTTCTGCTGATTTGGCTATCTGACTGATTTTATACCGAGCAACCAACTCTAGTAAACAAGAAACATTAAATCAATCTTTCGAAACATTGATTTTATATGGAAACATTTTGACATAATATTTTATAAATGTTCTTAAACTGTTATTTGGTAATGTAATATTCCCAAATATTAAAATCATATTATATAAATATTATTTTTAATATTTCAGTTAAATATTGTTAACAATGACGTACACAGCATTAAGAACTACACATTTGAAAACGTTATAAAATTATAATATATTATAATAATTATTATAATAATGTTGTGTTAATGATTTCTTGCTTACTGGGATGTACTCTCAATGAATGCCAATATAACCAATATTGGACCAACGAAATGCGCTATTAGAGATGTTTCTCTGTTTTATAGAGCGGGACGCGCAAGTTACGTAAAACAAGCCCAGTACTTGACAAAAACGGACGCGGGATCGTATGTCGCGGCAATATGGATCACAACTATCGCAGAAACAATGTGTTCGGCAATGTGTACATAATTTCGTTAAGTGTGTTCAACGATATTCCTATCTTCTCCTTTATCTTTCTTGTCTTCTCCGCTATCTTTCTCGTTGCGTTTTCAGATGGAGTGCGGATGGCGATCGAAGGAATGCTACATGTGCGACTCGGCCAATGAGGCGAATAGAAATCACGACGCGAACGTATATAAAATAATTTTTTTTCTCTCGCATAAGTAATAAAACAACTAAGAAACAATAATTTGTCACTGGTCGATTTATCACAACTTCTAGTATTTTTTTGTAAGGGAATATAATTGTGAAATATTATTGTAATTATTACTGTAATTCGTTTTAGCGGACCCTTCAACATTACTGCAATATCTCAGTAAAATTGCAGTAATATTTTTGCTATATTACATTGTATTATTGCAATGGAAATATGACGTTGCTGTGTGACATTGCCGTGCTATATGGGTTAAAAATCCCGTCGAATTTGTCGATTTGCAATGCGTTGTGGTCACCGAAGCTGCGTTTCAATATTTATTGCTAATACTGAAAATCTTGTAGTTCATGTTACGTATATGTATATATATATTATAATATACATGTTATGTATATTATAACTTCTCAGTACTGTCAGCAAATATATCTGAATATAAAAAATATAAAGAATGGCGGAACACAATTTGAACGTATTTGAAAAACGCTAAAAAAAATGGCGTTCGCTCACTGAACATGATGAAAATGCGCGTACTGATCACGTGCGTTCAGCGAAAATTTCTCCAACAGTTGCACAACCGTTAAGCGGGGCCTACAACGAGAATTTAAGGCGAACGACTTAAGAAACTGACCGATCATGTTCGAAATATAGAAAAAAAGTCAATCATGATTGGTCAATTTCTTAAATCTTACATCTTAAATTCTCACTGTAGACTCCGTATTGTCCGACGTTCGCCGAACGCACCCATTGACAAACCGAACGTCGTACAACTCAATGGCGAGTCAGTTGGATATTAATTCGCAAGTAACCCGGCTTAATGACGGATCAGCCGGACTTTTATTTCCTCAACGTTAAGTCTCAACAGCGAGTCGGGCGATTATTTTATCTTGAAATAATAACTGAACGATGGGGATAAGTCGGAGGATTTTTCAATCAATAGAATCCCGTCTTGAATTGTAATAACTTTTCCCCAGTTTGAATCCGAAATCATCGTTGAGACACGAGCCTACATCATCACTTTATCGTCTGCTAGCGTTGTGTCGCTGCGCATGCGCGGATTTTGACTTTCCATCCAGCAGCAGTGACTGTCACGCGTTGTATTGTGTTTGAGTGTACGGTTTGAAACGGCGAGGCCGAGGTCATCGTTGCCGGGGTCTTGATGAAGATGAAGCGAGTGAAGAATGAAATAATTAACGTGATCGAGTCATACTTGAAACGACGCCGCTATCAGGTGCAAAATTGCGAGATCGCCGATGTTCACCACGCTTTTCATCATTTATAACCTCAAATTAACCTCGCCGCCACTATGTTGTTGCAGGCCAACGACGTCTTCTGTAACAATAAAAACGACCACTTGTTTTGCCAGAGCAGCGATCAAATGACACTGAACGGTACCGCCGAGTGCGGTACTTCCCGCGACAATTCCATTATTTTTAGCGCCATCACCATTGACACTACCGCAGCGGAACAAGCTTACAAACGGTTAAGTCTCGTTAATCAAAGTCCTTACAGGATTGCACAACGTGATATTTGCTCGATCTAAAAACATGTGTTCAATTCTTCGTAAATATAGGCATAATACATTCAATTGTGTACTGATATTGTCAATTTAATTCTTCTTTTGGTTCTCATATAATTTAAAACTCCGCAAAAGAAAGGACAGACTTAAGCGGTCTCGTCAAACTCTGAAATTGATTTCTCTATTCTGTACTGTTTCTTATATTGTTATTACATGCAGCAGAAGCTAAAGCCTGTTTTGCACCATTTAAATTTATAATAATCTTAGAATAAATTAAAAAAAATATTCTTTACACAGATTGGATACTTTTTCTTTCTGAATAATATAAATATATGAATAATATAAATATATTGCTGTGTGCTAATTAATTTATTAATACTTTGTATATAATATTTTATCTTGTTTAACTATAAAGTCATAATGTAATTATTTCTGCGTTGATTTAATACTTCTTTCCTGTTAAATGTGCAGCATTTAAAAATATGATTTATTATGAATACTAATTGAAACAATCAATATGTTGGTACAACTTAATTGTATAAAGCAACAATGTACCAGATTAATTTCATTGGTAATACAGTTATATGTATATGTATGTGTTACATGGACTAAAGTTTCAAATTTTTCTTTCAGTTTGAAGACATGGATGAACGCCATACTTAACGAAAAGATCAAAATGGAACTGCAAGGTCTTTTGTATCCGATATTTTGCCATCTTTATTTAGAAATGCTGCACGCTGGCAACAAAGAGACCGCGATACAATTTTTGAAGGCACATCAGCATGAATTTATCAGCGATACTGAGAAAAATTTCCTAGAGGATTTATCCGGTGTATTTTCAGTACAGGATATTGAATTGAGACCTTTGGTGAATGCGTTTAGAACTAGAAAGTACAAAGTGGACTTATCGGAGCCAGCACATATCTGCCTACAGCAATATCTTGCCAAACATGGACACATAATATTATTGCAGGTAAATATAATTAACCGCGTTCTCAGGCGTGTCTCTTTTTTTTTTTTTAAGCACTTCGATTCTATAAAGATATTACCGACTAGAAGATGTAAAGGAGCAAAAATTTCGACTCTTCGTAGATTATAAATACGCACGTGACGATAATCAGAAAGGCACATGGCTCTCAAATGGATGGAGAAGCTCACGAAGAGAAAGGTCCGAGATACGAGGCAGGTATTAACGGGCATGTGGAGCAACCGTCTGGCACTGGTGTGGATCGGGAAATGAGAGAATTGCAAGAAGCCATACGATTAATAAGGGATAACGCTCATCAACCACTGAGAATATTCACGGTGAAAAATGCCATAGAAAAGTAATTACGAATCTCGACGTTTCCCACAGTCTGTTTATTCACACACGACTTATTCTCGACGGGGATGTTATCGTCTATATTTAATGCGCCCTCGTTTCATATGTCGCAGTGCAAGTAGTGCTCTTATTGCTTCGAAAATGGATAAATTAGCTGTAGGATTTAGTACGGCCGAGATACGCTTGTGGGGTATAGGCGAAACGGTCTTACTCAAACCGAAACATAAAAGCACACACATACCGCTCGCCTGTGACGTACTTCCATCTCGTAGTTGCAACGAGCAAGATAATGCAATGTAAGCTGTAATTGTGCCACTTTCCTAATCCGATTTTAAGGTACCGATATTTTACGAGAAACAATTTCATGACGACAGAAGAAGCGAAGCGGGAGCGGTGATATTGAGAGGGCATACGGACGTGGTGCATGATTTAAGATTTATTCCGGAATCGGAGATCCTCCTGTCTGTATCGAGCGATAAGGATATGAGAGCGTGGAGACTTGATGATTACTCGTGTGCAACAATATATAGGTACGTAACTCTTTGTTATTTTAATATACACGCTCATTCGCTGATGAACATTTTATGCCAAATATCACAAATATACGGGATAACTTCAAATTCGCGATTCGTAACGTTGTGAACGCAAATGTTCATGGGAGATTAAGTAAATGCAATCATAAGATGAATATGTGATACACATATCACGTGCAAGTAATTTTTTTTTTCTTACAGTGGCCATAGTTACCCGATATGGTGCATGGATACCAGTGTGTTCAATTTATATATCGCTACAGGTTCACACGATAGAACTGCCAAACTGTGGTCATTGGATAGAACGTTTCCACTAAGAATATTCGCCGGTCACTTTTTAGATGTCAATGTATGGCTTTTATCGTTGTATGCCGCGTGTATTCATTTGAATAATATCAAACAGCAACGTAATATATTCACACGCTGTTTCAGTGCGTGAAGTTTCATCCAAACGCCCGATATTTAGCGACGGGTTCCGCCGACAAAACCGTAAGATTGTGGTCCAAAGATGATGGTAACCTATTGCGAGTGTACGTCGGAGCAGAGTCAGCCATTTACAGTTTAGCGTTTAGTCCAGACGGCAAATATCTGGCCGCTGCTGGTAATTATGATTATAAATATATATAAACTGCAAATGTAAATGGACACTTCATTGTTCAAGAGTATTATGCATTATTATTTCTTTAAGTAAGAAGAGTACATGATGGGAATGTAAAAATGTCGTATAATTAATATCGGATAGAAAATTTCTTTACGATAGTTAACGTTACTCTCTTCTCGTTTTAATTTTACGTAGTTTTCAAAAAGAGATTCGTGTCTATTTACCTTTATTATATTATTGGTATATTGATGCTAAAAGTTGGTTATTGCATTTTGTATCTATTTAATATAGAATCGTAATCGTGAGATTAGTAATTAATAGTAAATAATTAATAAAGTATTAATTAGTAAATAATCAATAAATAATTCGCGCCTAATCTCGGAAACTCTTATTTAGGTGACGACAAATCTATATCAATATGGGATTTAGCAACTAATACAGTGCTAACCGAATTGAAGGGTCACAAAGAAACAGTTATGCATGTAGACTGGAGTTTAGACGGCCAGTACATCGCCAGCGCGAGCATAGATGGAATTGTACGGTTATGGCCTACTCAGGACTTTATCAGCACTTTGAATGGGTGAACTTTTATATCTTTTTTTTTTTTTTAATATATAATTTAATCTCACTTTACAATACATTTATGTACACTTTTTTCAGTGGATCATCAAGTGTGATGTCACAATCTGAGACACCACAAATATATTCGACGTCTTGCTCAAGCATTCTTTCGTTAAATTATTACAAGAAAAATAATTCATTAATCTGTATCGGCACAGCGTAGGATTTTTACTATTTATTATTTTTATTTGGGGTAAAATATGCCTTTAAATTAAATCGATTTTAACCGTTTTACCATTGTACAGTTTGTCACATGAAATTTTTACATTATTTATAAAGGAAAAAATGCATCACCATGTCAGCATGTCGTATATACTGTTAGGTTTATTTTCACTGTACCTTATTAATTATATGTTATACCTTTTTCACGGGTTTATATATGACAGTATTTCATAAGTTTTCGTCTTTCCATTCTTTCAGAGGGAGATAATGTAAATAGTCTTGTGCTTGACATATTGTTCATATATTGTCGTGAACAAGACTATATGTATATTTGGTAAATTTTAGGAAATGTTTCAAAATTAATGTCGAATATTCTCTTAGAATTTACCCCGCTTATTAAAATAATGAGAAAAATCCGTATAAACGTCCAGGTTAAAAAAATGCTTGTTTTAAACCGAAGTAAAAATGTACTCAACATTTTTTTAAATTTTAATTAATAAGATTATTCCAATATTAACAGTCAAATATATTCGCCTTCGGAAATGCGTTGAATGAAACTGAATTTTTTAACAAATAATTAGCATGTATTATTACATATATTTTCTGCAAAAATTTGCAGGAGAAACTGTTCATGAACTTCTGAAAATCTATGAATATATGTATATAGTAAGATTCATATATAGATTTATATAGATTTATAAAGACCACACACATATATATATTTATACTTACAAAAGAGAAGGTCCTTTTGGACATATATAAANAATCGTTTTTTACCTAAGTTATGAGAAAAAACTCAGAGGATACTTAATAATTTTAAAAGATTGTGTACATATTTAAATGAGAAGTAATAGTCATCCTAAGACCAACCAAAATTATTCAGTATTGAAGTATTAACAATAATAAATGAAATTAGTAACGATAAATGAAAAAAAAGTACAAAAAAGAAATTATATGTTCGATTATATAATTATAGTCGAAGCTATATTCGATATATAGGAAGAGAATATAATTTTTGTAAAACAATGATACACATTTATTATATAGTTTATATTAGTAAAATTATATTTTCAATTTCTCTTTTTCATTTCTTTCCCTAGTTTTGACTTGTATTATTTTTCTGCTTTGCGGAGTTTAATTTGTAATATATATATGAATATATAGAATTATATGTTTAATATATATATGAATAATAAAAAATATATAAAGTAAACAATAAAAGTATGCTTGAACATGTTAGACTTTGTTATTCGATGGTAGGTAGGGTAAGATACACCTAAAGTGCTAGGAAGACTATTACATCTTATTCATCGCAATAAATATTTACATTGCGACAAAAAAAATACGCATGGTTTTTAACTATTTAATTGCAAAAATTGCGCATACATCATAAATTATAGAATTTTACTCTTGGTTATTATTGGAAAAGCAAAATAATCTTTTCCTATTTTTCAATCTCTCCCACACTCTTCGTTATATTCGTCTATGTGATAATTAACTCGCAATGAGAGAAATTATTTAACTTGTACATGTAAATCTTTTTTCTATGTGAATATTGTCTAATAATTCATTAACAATTTTTTGTCTTGTTATAAAGATTTTGTAAATTGTGAATAAAATGTTCAACTATAATTATACAGCAAGAGAATATAATTTTTATAAAACAATGACGTGTGTTCATTATGTTCCTTAGGTATTATTTTAAGTATTATCTTACATAATACATATGAAATATATTCTCTTTTAAAGGAGATAAGATTAATTCTTCTTTTTCTTCTTCTTCTTCCCCGCTTTCTTATTACTAATTTTGTTGGGCTCTTGTTGCTCTTCTGCTTTGCGTTTTAATGTTTCTTTTGTCGAATTCTCCTCAGGGTTACCGGTGACTTTTGTATTTAATGGAGGAACGCTAAAACCTGGTATCTAAAGACATAAACAGACAAACAGTACATACCTTTTTTATATGTGTGTACTATATACTGAGATGTAATACTTTAGTGTTGTGTAATTTTTGTTATCTTACTACTGCCGTGTGTGATTTCTTTTAGTCCCGGTCTATACTGATGCTTTAAGCTCTAAGCCTTAAGAAATTAGCCAAGCACGGTCGAATTATAGAAGAAAAGTCAATTATAACTGGTCAATTTCTTAAATCTTACAACTTAAATTCTCATTGTAGATCCCGCTTTAACGTTATAATCCAATATAAACACAATAGTGTAACAGCTAAAGAACTTTAGAAATGGCGGTTGAAGAAAACGTTTCATACACTCACCTCCGGTTTTACAAGCTTGAAGAACAATTTCTCGTGTTGTACATTAGATCTGTCCAAACTCATTTGCACAACAATAGGATCAAACGCTCGAAATACAACATCTCCACAGGTTTGAGACTGATCCTCGGGATTGTGCGTGAACGGTGCAGTAGAATTATTTAAATACAGCGTTCCTTCTAAACCATACTTTGGTATGAGCACTTGCAATGCGTTTTTCCGTACAAATAGAATGTACCCTTCCTCATCCTGAACTTTGCCCCGGAAGAATAGCTGAAATATGTTAGACGACCGTCACGTTAAAAGCGCAAGTTTTTTCAAATAATGCGTCGAAACACACACACACACACACAGAAGGAGTGAAATGTAAATTGGACTAACATGTGTATGAAGCGCGACTGAGGCCCGGCCGGCGTATTGAGCCATTCGATTCCGGTAATTCAGATTGTGGCACAGCAAATGATTCTTCTTCTTATCCAATAATTCCGGATAAGTTGCTTCAGCGCCTATGCACATGGCTAACAAGCGGTGCACGATTATGTCCGCGTACCTGCGACGTCATCGCGCGATAGAAAAAGTCGTAGACATGAATGAATTTACCGAGTCCTTTTTCGGATGGCTCTCAAATGTGCCTCACCTTCGAATAGGAGACGTGAAGTGCGTGTAGATGGGACACGCCAGTCCGTAGTGCGCAAATTCTTGTGGTTGATGCATCCCGCTGATAAAATACACCGCTTGCATCATACATCGCGTAGCTAATATTCTCAGCATTGTATTGAAGTAAGGATTCGACTCCTTTCGGGCTCCTTCCAACGATTGCGCCAGTTCCTTACCGGTGTTTATGTTTATGGTGAAGCCCTGCGATCAATTTTCACGCCATCAATCGCGAATCGCCGAGGAATGATACGCACCAATGCTGTACATCGTGGCGATGATCAATTGAATATACCTGATTCTGTGCAGCTTTAATTAACGGCTCAAAATTGCTCAGCGGCGGCTCAGGATGCCTCCTCAACATAGCGCATTCTGGGAATTCTGCCAGTATCTTCTCGGCAACGCTGATGTTCGCGAGCAACATGAACTCCTCCACCATGGAATTGGTCTCTCTCAATTTCTTCGCTTCCACGTCAATAGGATCGTGCGTCTCGCTGTCCACTTGGAAACGTATCTCAGGTGACGCTAAGGTTAAAGCGCTGGAAACGAAACGCGATATTAAAGAAGCTTCGCAATATTTTATACTTCGTATAGGACGAGTCACTTCACTTCAAAAGTCTGAATGTGTAAAGAATCAAGCAAAATAGAAAGAAATGTTCCGGACGAAGTTGTAGGATTTCGAGAGAGGTATAAGTTGGTGACCTTAACTTCGCTATACAGTCAATAATTCAGTCATTTCAAGGTCAGCTTCATTCTTTTTTAATGGGATCGTGTAATTTTTTTAACACAAAGCGAATTCTCCGTTTATTCTGCGTTTAAAAGTATTAAGAGGTAGATAAGAAAAAGTGAACACTCCTCGAGATATTTTTGCTTTTCATTCTATTTTTCAGTATAAGATACAAAATATCTAATAAAGTGTTCACTTTTCGATAACATCGCTTTAACACTTTTGTAGAATAGATTGCTGTAAGCAAACAGAGAAACTTTGAAAACATTTCATTGCATTTTGCATGTATGTATCGATGCAATGATAAATATCAGTAATCAATTTCTCTCATATTATTATATAAGAAAGTTCTAAAGTGATGGTATCAAAAAGTGAATACGTTATAAAATATATCTTATACTGAAAAACACCAGAATAAAAAATATCCCAAAAAGTATTCACTCTTCGATAATCTTACCTTAATATGTTTACATGTTGAATGAACCGAGAAACCGATTCATGTTAAAAAAAAATTATTTTATAAAAAAAAAAGAAAGTTGATCTTAAAATGACATAGAACTATCAATTATAACAAGCTGAGTTCAGCAACTTTATGTCTCCTTCCAAACCCTACAATTTTGGTCCGAAACATTTCTCCTTATTTTGCATGATTTTTTAAATATTTTGGCTTCTAAAGTGACTCATCCTGTTTACACGGGCAAATATTAGAACACGATGATAAGCACACCCATTATCTATACGTTTCTTCTTCAGCTTTTTCGCCAATTTGTTTAATCTTCTCAATGAAAGTGTGATAGCATCATGCTGGGTGGCATCGTCAATCTTTAATTGTGCTTCCTCATACGTCATGGCTTGGCGTGAGCAAATGAGAGACTTGCAAAATTTTGTACTGATTATATTTGCTTTAGAATCAATCTCCCATATACAAGAAAATGCAAACCTTTCCTCCTTACCTCTCAGGGAACAAAGATTTGAGCTAAGTAATTCTGAAAAATGCGCATCTTATATTATACAATTCATGCTGCAATCACGTAGAAAATTAATTAAAGCGCAGTATTTTTCACCTGGAACCATATCGATTCGTTTGTCGACGAGATATACAGTGGTGGCGCGTAAAGCCGCTTCCTTGTCCAGCGCGGTGCCGGGTCTTATGAAGTGCGACACGTCAGCAATATGTACACCGATATCGTAATTACCATTTGGTAATTCTCTGCAATGTAATGCATCATCGATGTCAGTGCAGCCAGGTGGATCCACCGAACAGATGTCTAAATGTCGAAGATCCTCCCTTTGCGCGATGTCCTGCAAATTTATGTGTATGTTCGTGATCAGTTAAGCCCGAGAGGAGCAGTCAATTTGTCAAATAGCAGGCAAATTCAGCAATTTGTAGATTATTGTTCATATCTGCACATACCGCTTCCGTAATGATCCAAGGTAGCCTTGGGAGAAAGCTGAGAACGGCATCGGAAAACCGGCTGTGCGGAACGTCGTGTTCCAAAAGCAACACTTCATTCTCCGTCTCTTTGTCTCCTATATTACCGAGTGATCGTACAAAGTGGCCAAGCGGATATCTCGAATTTCGCGGCCACGAATCCAGTGCTACGATTATTCTTTGCTTGCTTAGTATCTCAGCTTGTCTGGTTTCTATTCTTATTTTGGGGATTTTCCTCTCAGCCGGGATAAACAAATGTCTCACATTCTATCGATTACATATCGGAGAAGATATAAGTTCGCAATAAAGTAGGTATTAAGAGAAAAAAAAGAATTTTAACCCTTATCGGTCGTAAGTCACCTGTCACGTGACAACAATACTTCGTCGCTGCGGTCGTACGTAGGAGGTGACAAGTCGAAACCTGTCGAAACTCGCTCTGTTAAATGCGGGTACGATTGCCTTGTCAGTTAAGCATAAGCAACGGAGCAATTGATATCTCCAGCGATATATCACTGCCTTTTGTACTCAATTTTCTAATATATTGAGCCCAAAAATGAATAAAGAAAACTATACGATATGGAACGCCATCAACAACAGACAATGAGAGATTAGATGGAAAACTACATATCCTCCAACTTGATGCTAAAGGAAAACATAATGACTGTTTAGTATGTTCTAATCGTAAGTTGCCTGGAGGAAGAAAAACAACAGTATACTTCTGTGAAACGTGCAACAGAAAACCATTCCTTCATGTTGGAGATTGTTTCAAAAAATATCATACATTAAAAACTTATAAATAATTATTTATAAGTTTTTAATAATTTATTAATTGAAACTCATATATTTGTAATACTCCTTCAAAAAATAAATAATTTCTAACAAAAACGTTATTCTTATAATACTGAACATTTTTCGCATATTTACCGAAACCAGCTACAACCTAGTGAGAATCACTCATAAAAAGCTCGTGTCCGATAAGGGTTACAGAAAGAGAATGGTAAGTTCTCTTACTTCTTTAATTGCACCTGGTTGCAATATCCCACAATATTGTCTCCATTTTCTCTTGATAATACCAACAATCTTGCCCGTCGGTATTTTATCTTTTGCTTTCGATACACTCTGCTTAGCAAATTCCTTCTCATCTTCCGGGATATCGTCAGCATCTGCAACTTCTTCGTCCTGCAGGACAATTTCACTAGGGAACGACCATTGATCATCTGGTAGAAGCTCAACCGCAACTAGATCACTATCTACTGCCCTGTTGAGATTAGTTCGTCCTTGCACAAAGATCTAAGATGACAAAAATGACGATTGAAATAAATAACAATGTAATCCTGATATTGACTATATTCATGTAACACACTCGAGCTAACAATTATATACATCTTACAGCTTTTTCTCTTCCTTCAACGTTCACGTTTCCTTCGAGAAAATTTTCTCTCGATGCCAGGAATGTTCCTTGCAATAATTTGCCGGATGATATACCGTCATGAATTTCCGCAGGTGGTAAGTGGCAGGGAAACAGGTCTGGTCCTTGCGAGTCCAAAGTGTAAGAACGTTTGCATAACTTATCCAGCAAAAAATTTGCATCTTCCAAGGATGCAACATAATCTTCCACTATAAAAGAGAAATATATTAATCTTCATATTATAAATGTTTGATATTACATTATAGGTATGCCAGCTTTTCCTATGGTTATATAATAAGCTAAATAAGCCATAATTTAACATATCCTACTTGATGCAACAAATATTCCATCTCTACTTGCAAGTTCTCTGTTTTTTACATCATCTGTTAATAAGACAACCTTTACATTGTGATCGTCAAAATTCAAGTGATTATTGTACCATTGAACCGCAACTCTTATTGCTCTATCATTACGATCATTTGCTTTTTCACCAGGTTCTCTCTCAATGTATGTTTCTCTAGAAATATATAATTTAACAAATATTTTTAACTATGCCACTATAATATACAAAATACTACAAATGTAATGTTATAATATACAAATGTTGTAACCAAATATCATAAATTATGTTAAATATCAGCAAAATATAATTACATTTGTAATTGTAGCAAAATATAAAATTAAATATATGTATTATATATACATATATAATTTTCTTATATATAATAAATATTTGTATACCGATGATGTTCATTAATAAAGATGAAAAATTTCCTTCTTGTATCTGATATGATATTTTTCAATTTTTTATATACAGTGGAGCTTTTATGTCGAATTTCTTCCAACACAGTTTGTGTAATGATTACGTTAGTGATAACATCTTCTTCTAATATATCTATCTATAATTACAAATTAAATTGATTAGGCAGAAATATAGAGATGTTTAATTTATATTATAAAAATAACTCATATTAAATAATTCATATTATCAGAATACTATTTGTAAATATATTATTAGAACATAAGAATCTATTATAAATATAAAAAACAATTGAAATTATATAATACAGTCATACTTACTTGATCTAGAATTACATTTGTATCAAGTAAAAGATAATAGGGAGTAGGAATTAAAGAAGATTTTGCACCAGCATCTTTTTTATCTAGGATCATATCCTGAGGCCTTCCTTTACATTTTTCACACATTTGTAAACCACAACAAATATCATCTCTGAGATAATGTTCTCTGACAGTCTAATGAGCAAAAAGGTAAAAATTTGGATATTATTTTTAACAAATAAGAGAAAAAGTAAATATTTAAAAACATATACAAAGTACAAGTATCTTACTGTTAATAAACCCTAATAATCATAAATTTATCATTTATGATGATGTATTAAATCATACCTTAAATATATTGCCTCCCTTCGTCTTTCTAAAAAAAATCTTTGTTGTTAACATGTTTAGACAAACGCACGTGTCTATTAAAATATCATATTAATAAAACTGTAAACATGCGAGAAGCTTGTAACAACGTGTTCGCAAATTTATAGCACGAACGAAAGAAACTGCTAGATCCCACAAACTCTGCGGAAGTTTCAGAAAGGGCACGCTGCACAGAATCGTTTTATTGGCTGGATATTATCTTAAAATCATTTTAAGATGATAGTTAGCCAATAACTTTGTGTAATGTAACCATTCTTGTTGGAAAATCGACTCTGACAAAATGTTTATTCGCATTAGCTGTGTTCCAAACCCTTACCCGACAGGTATCTTTAATTAATCATGATAAAATAATTTTCCTTAAGCCAGCGGCACACGATGATTGTTTTCGTGCTGGACTGTTTGCTGGATGGAAATACTGTGTTTTAATTGGTGTATTGTTATCTATTTTTGGAAATGCACCAATCAGAACGCAGTATTTCTATTCAGCTATCCAGCACGAAAACAAGCATCGGTTGCTGCTGGCTTTGCTCTCTTTATCCTGATTGGTCAATTAAATGCTTAAATAGGGATTTGGAATGCAGCCATTAATGGCTTCATCGCATCTTTCGCGAGAAATATTAAGTAAAAATCAACATGGCGTGTGTGTATGTGTGTGAACCGGTTTGCTATCATCAGAGGTATAAAAACAGCTTATATTGAATAGGCTATTGTATAACAAGTTAATTACATCCATATTCTCTCTCTAGTTTCTCTATTATATTATTATATTATAGTTGTACTAATAGTACAAAAAATATAAAACAATTATTTTATTTCTAATATTAGATTATCGTATTACGAATGGATACCTGCATGATATACAAGAAAATTACTTGGTAATGGGAAATTCAAAAGTATAAATTTGCATGGAACTTTGTAATAATTTGAGCATTGTAAGAACCATGCTTTACACAAGCATAAAAGTTATAATTACAAAAGTTATAGTTACAAGATATAAATCAATCAAATATTAAAATGCATAAAAAAATATATTCATTAAAATATTCTCATTATTCTAACTTTTCTAATTAATTTACTAATTTATATTCCTGACTGATAAAATTTATCACTGATTCTAATCACTGTTATCTCTTAATGAGACATAACATGTATTATGGCGTTTTATCATAATCTGAATATTTATCAATAGTATAATAGTCATAATATAAAATGCTGCCGATAAAAACCATACTGGCACAGGATATACAGGTGGCATGTAGTGAGAGTACAAAAAGGTATACAGAGAAGCTGCTGCGAATGGCAACAGAGTCTCTAAAGACGAAGTCAGAGAAAAAATCTTTCCTGTAAAGATAAATGCATGTAAAAATATGGTTTTTATTAAGTTAATATGAATATCTTAAAGAAACTACAAATGTCTCTATATCCAAATATATATCTGAAAATATTCTGTGTAACTTCATACGCATGATCTATCATACATATTTTTCTTTATTTAATAATTGCTTTTACAAGCAGTAAAGCTTACCCATATCTTGCAGAGGCACAGTTTTGGATAACACAGCACGTATCATCGGTCGAGATAAATCACTAAATGATCCCATACTTGTTGCCAAATACATGTGCCAAGATTGCCATATAAAAGCACGCATTAAAGAACTACTAAGAGATGATATGACAGATATTATGGCAATTATCGCCTCTGGAAGTTCTAAAATAATACAAGTATCTTATAAAATCCTACTTCATAAAATCTTATATGAAATTTTTCTCATTGTAAAAGACACTTCGAAGGGTTGTCCAAGGATAAACCAATACCTGCACATTGCCGCATCAATTTGATACCCAATATCGTGCCAAATATTCCTAAAACAACACTCACACCTACATAAGTGGAGTATTGTTTTACATTCCAACTAAGTCGGGCACTTGCAAATAAATATCCTATAGTAAGTTCCCCTTGTAAGGTGATTAAAAGTAATGTGAGACAAACTATGCAGCTCCAAACTAACGATCTATTGAATCCCTCTCTCTTCTTAATGCATGCACGAACAAGATCTTTCACAAGCACAAAATCAAATATCTTGCAAATAGCACCCTGCAAAAAATGGAAAAGTGACGATCATTTGTTCTCTGCTATTTATATATACAGAATGTTCCGAACCTATTTCGGTTCCCATGATGTGCAGAAAAGTCATGTACCATTTTGCAAAATTTCGAGTTATTAATTGTTGAAAATAGCCATGTATAAAGGTTTCTTTAATTAATAACTCAAAAAACTTATGTGTTATAATTGCAAAATAGTAAAGGACTTTTCTTTTCAGTGATCTAATCTATAAATAGGGGAAGAGGTGATTGGCAGTTTTAAAATACAGAAATTCAATTTTAAGCTGTCTCTTGATGCAAAACTAACTACACTTGTGGAATTCGTTTTTTTTTGTAGAGATTAGTCAAGATTCTACGTTACAAGAATACATAGTTATATTAGAAAAATAAAACATATCATGTTCAAAATATTGAATTGAAATAACGTAAATCGCTATACCTGGCACTCATAATAATTGGTATCACTTGTCACAGTGTGATTAGCACTCGCTATAAACACGTTAAGTAAAGAAATATGTCACAATTTAAAGTTTGTTAATAACCGAAACTCGATATTTAAGTTGCGCTGCTAATGATTTATTCGATAAACATACTGTCTACACATACCAATATATCGGCGGCCTCTGATTGCAACCTAATGAATTAATCAACATTGCAACTCAACCGATTACTTTTCGATAAATCATTTTCTCATAAACAGCCCTATAAATAGCTGCACATTCGATGATAGAGTTAATCTGTTTTGCATTTAAATATACTGATATACCAATCCCTTGAACCTCGAATCTGGGACCCCTCGTTAGATACAACAGTTATCATATATTTATAGATTAGATCATTCTGAACAAAAAATCATGTATTATTTTGCAAATAATACTATAATATTATATATTATTAATTAAAGAATTCTCTATACAAGACTATTCTTAATAATAAATAATTTGAAATTTTGCGTATTGTCTGCAAAATAGTACAGAATTTTTCTGTTCATCTGGGCCCATTTTATGCCTTTGTGAAGTTTATCCTTGTAACTTTAAGATTGTGTGTGTGTGTGTGTGTGTGTGTGTGTGTGTGTTACATCTCAATTTTTCCATCACACTGAACGTTTCTACTTGCAAATACATTTATACTTTGAGACACTCACAGTACTATGATTTTGTATAGTTTCCGGAACAAACAATAATATATATAATGTTGCTGCAATGCATAATACAGTTGCAATGCCGAACACAGCAGTATATCCATAGGCTTCAAGTATTGCTGGCCCAGAAAATAAACCAATTAGTAAACCAAGAGATATTAGTGCATCTAGCCAGGCCAAATGCCACGATCGCTCATTATCATTCGTTATATCTGTGATGTAACACAGTGATGCTAATACCAATACACACAGACCACCCAAGAGTGCAGCAGGGACAAAAGCTAGTAACAAATACCAGGGTGCAATGTCCCAACCAGTCATTACAGAAAGTAGAAGATAGGTTAAAGATATACCTGGAAAAAGAAAATATTAAACTTTTAAAAATTATGTTTTTTCTTTCACTCCGCAAAATATCATACAACTCAAGTTCTTTTTTTAGCTTCATGATAACACAGATCATACAAATTAACAAACAACTTTTTTACCTGTGTATCCAGACAATATAAGCGGTTTTCTCCCATACTTGTCGCTCCATGGTCCCAGGAACAAAGACAGAAAGGAGGGAAAGATACTTTCAATGAAGGACTTACTCATCAATATTAAGCTGACATGTGGTTGTACCTGTAAATTTATTTTCAAGGCTTCCGGACTGCTGCCATTATTGTGGAGTATCAGACATTCTGTTTGGTTTATCCTTAATGTCACAGTGCACGTACGATATATTATTAAATCTGTCAGAATAGTACCTGTAGAAAAATATATATACACAGCCATTGCATTGATATGAAGGATTAGTCGTTACCTGACATTGATTGTGCAATCAGCATCAGCATTATAGATGGTTGTACCATTACATAACGCCTCCATCCTGTTACAATTTGATCCATTGCCAAATTTATTCTGACACTTGATGAAAAGACACTTCTTCCAACGATAGTTGCAAAACAAATGAGGGGGATGCTTGACAAGACAACCACCACAGGCTACTTCACTCATTAGACTATGTAATCACTCTGATTGTTATGATAAAAATCTCGAATAACAAATTAGAGACATGTTATCTCTGATTTAAATGACGCTGTAATATTCTTTGTTCTCTCACGTTCCTGACGTAGCTGCATCGACCATGAATAATTGCGATCTATGACGACATGCTTTTGCCAGTGAATGATCAACGTTTGCATAATGGACATTTATAGACAAATTCCCTGCATGTCTCTGCTACAATCATCTCAAATTGTACAATGCGCGCCTAGTGTGTCCTCCGCGCGAGAAACAGATACGAGCGGCTGGTGGGCTGCCATGATGAACTTCGTACGCGGATTTTAAAGTCAAATCAGCTGATTTGTGATTACATTCGTATCACACTGTTTCTCTTCTACTTGAAGCAAAATAAGTAAAGGAAATAACGGAATAAGTAAAATATATCGTCGAAAGGAAAAACGTGAAATCTGAGAATTGTGTAAAAAGCAAAGAAAAGCGGAGCTAAAAGGAACAAATCTCATATTCAGTAAATAATTGAACCATTGCGTGGGTTTGAACCATTATTGAGCGACTACTGATAATGTAGTTTTCTACAATCTGATGTACTACTTCTGGGTTCGTATCAGTGCTAAAGATATATCGCATTGGTTTACCTGCTTTATCAGTGATATCTTACAGTTAGCCGAAATTCAAGAAATCGAAAGACCGTAATCTTAGTTTATCGAAACGCAGTTTCTTTTTTTTACTGGAAACATCTCACAGGATCATGGGCGTAGCCAGGATTTTAGTCGGGGAGGAGGGAGAGCAAAAATTTATTTTCAGATAAATTATTATTAGCATACTTATCCTCTAATGATGAGGTGGATTTTCAGGACATCAAAGCATCTTTGAGTGTTTCATTGCAATTATTTGAAGCCAATTAATAAACTTTATTATATTTTTGCATTTCTAAATAAACAGAAGTAAAAGCTTCGTGTTATTATTTTTACTTCTTTTACCTATTTCGCACATTAATCAGATGAAAAATGAACAAAACAGAGCATAGGTCGGATCCGACCCTAGCCTTATCATTAAAATGTTATATTAAAGCTAGTCTTTGCGGATCTCCGGTAAATTTTCTTATAGCAACACTTCTTCCTTCAGCTTCTTTCTTTTTCTTTCTTTTCGCGAGCACTATTTTTCTGTACACACCACTTAGCATACATAATTCACCGAGACTGAATTTCCTGATATTGTTGACCGCAATCAGGTTTTCACCTTTCGCAATGTATTAAAAGACCTTTCAATGGTGCTCGTTATGCACCATTGATCGTTGGGCCAAGGAATGTCTGATGGTGAAATTGAGACATTTTCATTAGATTTATTTTTATAAAATGTTCCTCACCGACATACAAACGTTATGTGAACGTTCTTTATCTTGCTGCAATGCGAAAATGTCCACTTTTCTGTCGATTTCCATGCCCATTAGTGACATTATTTTCAAGATGAATACATATCTTTCATTGAAAATACAAGCGGCCAGGACCGTCGCAGTTTCAATAGTTGTTAGGCCTTATACGTGTAAATATTTCGATGTAAAACGCCTAATTTAAATTTCAAATCATTTAAACTTTTGTTATTATTTTAAATATTGCGTCAAAACATTTCGTCATCTCTTGAGAGATTCTTTGCATATTGATATAATAACTTCGCAAACTTTTTCATTTAAAGGCTGGTAATCGCTTCTAAAATGCCTTTGCACTTCAGCGTGTCCTCAGCACACTAGTTTGATGGATCCGGCGGACAGTTTATATGCTGAGGTTTGCTGAAACTTTTATGATAATTGGTCTGTTCTTTTCTCAGCTGAACTGGTTGCACTAGTTCAAGAAATTTACATACACATTGAAGCGTATGAAGCGTACGTACGAGATTCTCGTGTTTCAGTATGCGTACATTTCTTGAACTAGTGCGGCAATTCAGCTAAAAAGAACAATTAAAAGGCCAAATAAGTGGCTCAAACGTCATTTCTCGTATCTTTGTTTGAAAGTTCGAGACACACTGTCGTTATACCTGAAAATGGCTTTGTCCATTTATATAATAGGAATATACGAACTATCCAGAAAACATCGGATAAGAGAATTTCAATACCCAAATAAAAGATTTCAAGTCGTGCAGGTAGTTTTAATTACAATAGATAAAGGAAAGCGACGTGTATTCTCGTGCTCAGTAACGATACTTCAGGCACCTTTATATTCAAATTGCTCTTGTTCAGTCATTTTTCTTACATCTTTCAAGCTTCACAGAAATATTTTTAAATACATATGCATATTTTTTGAGTATATATATGAAATAAAGAAATGGTAAGAAAATCTTCTAAGCATATCCCCTAGTAAAAAACGATTTCTCCTTGCCAAAATTTAGGGATGCGCTCCCTTCCCCCTGACTATGCTCATGCATAAAATAGAGAAGAACACGCGCATTTGGGGTGTCTGAATATAATTAATTGATTGGTTTGTTTCTGCGAGCTTATTAAGTATAATTGTCATTTTCATTTACAGGGATGAAACAATAAGCACACGAGTGCCAGCATAAAAATATGAGTATTTATGTAGTATATTAACAATATACAAGTTTATAGGTACAAACGCAGAGATATTTCTTACTATCTAATCCCACTCTCCAATATACATAGCACGCGGAGTTGGAGGTATTACGCCTCTCGTCGGGATCGGTAACCTTCCGTATATGTGATTATACGGTGACTCGTTCCTATTATCCGAATCTGGAAGTGTAGGAACGATTATTGCGAATAAACAGGGTTTCGCAGTTATATAGCATACCATGCGCAATATCCGCAATCCCCGATTTGAAATGTGCAAGCGTGTGTATTATATGCGATCATATAATGTAATTATATAATTTTTAAAATCTTACGCAGCGAAAAACGACTGCCAGGTAATTCTCACTCACCAAGTCCGCTCTCGAAGCTTCGGGCATGGTACATAATGGGCGGTCGATGGGCAGGTAGATGACCATATATTTGAGAGGATTGACTACTAGCGTATGCGGCGCCCGCGTAGGATGGCGCGGCTTGTGTCCTGACATGTCCTCGAGGAGGAGGAGGGCCCATTTTGCTATGACCGTTTCTCGCCATTTTCACGAAATTCGGCACACGCGCTCGTAAACCGCAATAATATGGGTCGTCTAAAAAAAAAAAAACGCACAATAAATTTAACACACGTATGATTTATCAATCAATCTTGTTTTATGTGTGCGTGTCAAAATAATAAACTAAAATTTATGATGAGAACAGTGTTTTTTCTTCGTAAAGAGAGATAAGAAAGGCAAAAGTAAGTATATATCTTCAGACTTAACAAATAAATTTCAAATGAAATACTATTTATGTAAAATTGACTGTCACGCAGAAAAGAGTAATTGTAAATCAGGTCTAAAATGAGGATAATAATTCTACGTAAAAAAAAAAAGGAATACTGTTTTACATGAATAAAATTATATATTGCAGACATGTAAAAAGCGTTAATAACAAATGCATTATTCCTTACCGTATTTCTTTCTGTCGTCATGTTTACTTCGCTTCTCGTCGCTCATCATGGGATGCTTTATTGCTCTCGTATAGTCATCTTCTATATCATCGTAGTCAGGCTGAAATAATCAGGCAAACGTGAGAACGGCATGTTACACTTCCTCGCGATATAACACATCATTCTTTTTCTCAATTTACCTTGGGGATGCCGTGACCGTAAAGATTCTCTCTAGGAGGCAGTTTCGGCGGTCTCTCTGTACGTCGGTGCTGGTAACTCGTCGATTGCATGTAGATTTGCTCTCGAGAGTCTCTATCCCCCGGGATTATTTCGCTAGGGCCTCCTACGGACGACGACACACCCGCCACGCTATAAGGATCTTCGTCGGGAATTGGTATTCTAGGTCTATTCTTTATGTCGACCGGCCTTTGTAGTGCTAAAACTAAAAAAAAAATATATATACATATCTAGGTAAAAAACTAAAACTAAATATATCAAGAAAGAAGATTATTCGAAACACGCGAGATCACCGGGGTATTCTGTACTTTCAGCAAATATTTAACGTCTTGTGTCTTGACATACCTGGCGGTAGCTTTGACTTGAGCATGTCCAAGCCGACCACATTGACGATGAGTACCCATACAGGGCACTGCAGCAAGTCGGCTTCCGTTCTCACGAATATGATAGCGCTGAGACACTGCATTTCCAATCGTCGTCTGTCCGGGTAGGCTCTCCGTGTTTCCCGCGATAGATTCGTTTGAAACTTATTCATATCGAATAACTGAAACAGACGACAAAGCGCGACGTCCGTGCGCGTCGCACAGCGTTGGAAAGAAAATGAAGAAAGCGTCATCACTTTATGAGTATGCATATTTTGATCAATCTCTCCAGAAAGATTTAGAAATGGATTGTTTACGGGAGGAAAAGCAAAATGAAAAGTAGGATCTCCGGTCTATCGCGGAAGAGCGACTGTGTACCTTGGCTCGTGTTAAACAGCGGAACTTTTCGCTCTCCTTTCATAAGAGCGTGGTATATGATTTCCTGACGATAACGAGATTTAAACGGCTCTTATTATACGGTTCGGTTGGTCGGCGTATAGTTTTAATTAGAAAGGCGGTTTCTCTATCAAAACGCATTCTCGCGAACTTCGTGATACAACCAAGACGTGATCTTTCGCGCGTGCACAAACGATTAGGAAAACTCGCGTCACTTTTTCCGTTTTTTTTTTCTTTTTTTCTACTTATTATTCAGGCGGTTCTTATCTTATTATAAACACGAAACGTAGGCTCACCTTTCCCGGTTTTTCATGCTCGAGCGCACCCTGCGAATTGCGTATAATTTCTGGACCGATCGCGTTGTCCTCTTGATTCGTGGACTTGACGTACACGTTGTTCTTACATAATCTCTTGATGAGTATGTTGCCTTGTTCGTCCATTTTTATTTTAACTCCCTGATTTATGTGACGTTTCGCTTCTTCCGTCTTCGGATCTCGCATGGGATTGTCAAATCCGCAAAGTCCTATTCTGTATATTTCATTAAAAAAAAAAAATAATATTACAATAACACTCTATGTATAACGTTGGATCAGTTGTTCTTGTTGTATCGTAAAAATTTACACATCGCATACCTGAATCCATCAAACCCGTCATTCGAACCGTTTATCGTGAGAACAGGCGCTCTGGCATACGCTTTCGCCACTCGTCTGTTTCTCTCGAACACGATAACTTTCGCCCAAATTTCGTCATCTATTTGATTCCATTTATCTAAAACTTCCTGTATGTGATCCTACGAGCATAACGACACTATGAATATATCACGTTGTTGTTACTCAAGAGCACGGCTCGATCACAAACTTGGGCTCTTATTAATAGTTGTCACTAAAACTTGTCTCATGTGAGATATCGAGATTTTAATTCACTGTTAGATCCGAGTTTCTCAGCTGAATCGTATGATATATTTGACAGTGGATCTGTAAACGTTATTCAACTGAAAAACTCGCATCTAATTTCTGAGTATCTCTCGTGAGACAAGTTTCAAGTAACAACTAATTAACACAAATCTTGAACGATCAAAAGTAATCGTGACGAGAATTACCTTGTATAATTTATCCAAATTATACCATACATCTTCCTCTTCTTGCTCTTCGTACTGTGATTCTACGAGATTGTCTCGCGAACGCGAGAGTATTTTCCGTCTCGATACCATTTTGCGAGTCTACGTTTAATCTGAAAGCAGATGTACAAAAGCTTTTCATCACCACCAAAGACATTTATTTTAGACTCTAACGCGAGTCTAACTCAATACTTTTTTTATTATTGTTATTCAACGCCAGGGATTTTGTCCGACAGGCGCAAAGCAGTGCTATTATATTATCAGTCGTTCGGCAAGCATATTTCCGTTCTCTGCTTTCACTCTCCGATAGCCTCCTCTGCATTTTCGAGCAAATGCATGCGTGATTTTACACAAACGCGTTATTACACGCGTAACGAGCGCCACGGCGCATTCCGGGGATACAACCGTCGCGACGATGCATCGCGCGCGTCGATACCAGGAACCCCGTCGTCTCATGTAATCGAGCGAATGTTTTTTTCGTACGCGCTAGTGTACGAGCGAGGCGAAGGCAGAGGGGAAAAATTCGCTCCCACGCTCTCCCAAGTACACTTGAAGTCCTACGTTGATATCGAAGTTGTTATCAAATATACAGCTCATTCTCCTCCGCAGATAACGCATGCCACTTTGGAGCCTGGCGAGGGGAGAACGGCGGGGGTGAAAATAATCGTCGCCGCAATTTACGGACCGCGTGCGCTGTGTGCACACGCGCGCACGCACACGCACGCACGCACGCACGCACGGTGGGCGGAACTTAAAATCCGGCTCGGTGACATGACGTCATTTCAGCTGATCCTCACACTCGAGGAGCACGCACAATTTCGCTATTTTCTCTAGCTTCCACCTTTCACATTATCTCAATGTGATATAATCAAGGTTGGATAAGTTAATTTTTATTTTTAGTCAGGTTAAAAGTTAAAAGTTAGTGGTTTTATAACATTGATTTAGTTAAATTAAAAATTACCTGAGCCAAGATTGACTTAATTAAAAGTTAAGTTGATGTTAAATTAACTTATTAAAATGTTGATTATATATATGCAAAGCTATGTGTATTTTTTTGCATAATTAACTTTTTATTTGTAGATGAAATTTATGCTGAATAAAGAAAAGGTAGTCTATTGTAAAAAAAAAATACCGATTGTTTGGCGCTCAGAATTACACATAAGACAAGAACTCCAGCACTCAAAGAGACAAAATATTCTGCTGGCATTTCTTGTATTTTTCTTATTTCATACTATAAACAGCCCGCAATGATTTCAGTATTGATGAGTTATTTTAACTTACATAAAAGGAAAAGGATTAAAGAATTAAAGTTAATGCATCTTAAATTAACTAGTTTAAGTTAAAAATTAACTTATTTAGTCCAGATTTTTTATTTTCTGGTTAACTTATGGTCTGGGCTTAACCTGACGATAATGTAAAAATTATGTTTTTCTATCCATAATTAATTATTATATAATATATAGTTAAACTTTAAAAGTTACCTCTACAAAACCATCAGTTTAATGACTAACCATAAATAGAAAAACACAATTTTTACATTATTATCAGATTAAGTTTGAACCACAAGTTAACTAGAAAATGAAAATCCGGGCCTTAAGGTTGACAAAGTTAAATTAAAAGTTATTAACTTTTTAACTGAATTTTCAGCTGAATTAACTAATTATTGTCTAACTCTCGATATAATAATGACTATTAACAGGCTGCTCTAAAAATCATCGCACGTTTCTCGTGCGATCGCGACCGACTTCTCGTAGAAATCGCTCTTAGCTCTGAAAAAATGGAAAATTTTAATGAATAAAGGATTGGATGTCAAGTTGCTTTTAAGGAGAAGTCGTTTCTCGGTTTACTGTTCAAGTCATTGGCACATTTCATGTCTCACAAATTGAGTTATTTATTTCTCCCGGATTAATTTCGACTGTTTTTCCGCACCGCTACGAGTGTTTCATCTATAAAAAAAAAAAAAGAAAAGAACGTAAGAAAGAAAAGTAAAAGTTAGCAAATGAAGCGAGGCTCGTGTCTTCCAAGATGCAAAGAATTCTGCGAAAGTGGACAAATAAGATTCGACTGAGCGATAATGCGCAGGTGGAGCGCGCTTGATTTACCGCGCGAGTTCCTCGAGCATCGTGAAAGTGTTGTTATTTAGACGTATTGGCTAGCCTCGCCGCCCGATTTGAGCCGGCTTTCACGACTACTTTTTCGCAAAATCTTTTATTTATGGCCGTATATTAACGAAGAGAAAAAAAAATAATCAACGCCGCCGAGAAATCATGTCGACGGCGTAACACTTACGCGCGGAAACTGCGACTCGCTTTTCCATTTTCTCGCGCGAGATGCGAGATCTAAAAACATTCGAGTTATCTCTCTCTCTCTCTCTCTCTATAAATACGAAAGAAAAATTTTTCCACATATGTTCGTACACGGAAAAAAATTAGTATCAATTCAAGATTCATATTTTCATATATATGCAAAAATATATAATCTTATATGAAGATAAAATTTGCTTATATAAAGAAATTCTATATAGTTCCGCTAAAAATATCATATTCTTCTTATTAAAAGATAAAACATAATAAAAAATAATTTTCATGAATTGAGAGGAAAAAAATATCGAATATAGAGGGAGAATGATATCTTCAAACTGATACAATTCTTAGTTTGAAGAAGTCATTCTTTCTATCCAAAAAATTATTCTTGAATAACAATAATATGATATTTTTAGTGAAACTATATAGAATTTCTTCATAAGTGTGTATACAAGTTTTATCTTTATAAAAGATTATATTCTTGCTTATATATATGAGAATATCAGTCTTGAATCAATGATTTTTTCCGTGTACACAGAAAAAAGAATATCTTCGTTTTGAGAAAATCTTTATTCTTCAAGTGTAAATATTGAAATGAGCTTATGCAACGTTAAATTGATGAAACTTTCTTACATAAAGAAATTCTATACAGTCACATTAAAAATATTATATTCTCATTATCCAAGAATAAACGAATTAAGAAGAAAAATGTTGAATACAAAAGAAAAATATTTTCTTTAGAATTCTTAAGAATATATTAAGAATATAATCATGTATATAGGGTATCTTAGTTCACGTTTTTAATTTTACTGATAAGTTTTCTGAGCAATTTCAAGTTAACTTTTCCTCAACAGAAATGTCGAGGCACCAATAGTTTCCGAGATTCAAACGATTAAAATAAAGAAGCTTTTCGCGAATTATGAACGAGCGACCAAAATGGACAACAAAATTATTTTCTCCGATTTATTTCAAACGAACTTTAATTTGACAGAGTTTTAATTTGAGATTTGGCTAAAAAGATATGTTGAAGACTGAAAAGCTGTCGTAAATAATAACCTTCCTCGATATTTTCGCTAAGGAAAAATTGACTCTGTTCAGAGAATCTCTCGGTAAAATTAAAAGTCGCGAGAACTGGAACACTCTGTATACGAAAACAATGGTCACGTCGATTGGAATATTTCAGTGTTGAATTGACAGTAATTTTTTGTTCGTGTACATACGCACCTAAATACCGTGGATTACTCAACGGGTATTCGGGGCAGCTGCGCCAGCGTGACTTGCACACGCCTCGCCTCGTTTTGTCATACTGCTCCTCGATAGAAGTCGATACATACTGTACCGCTATTTATTGTAACTTCGTACCGTTTCATAGCGCACTCCGGAACGACAAGCGACGCGCCTCGTATGGCGCTCGGCTGCGTACCGTCCGGTACCGTAATATCGTTTAAGCAGTTACGGCACGCAACACCCGCCGCCTGGCTGAATTCCCGAAATCGCGCCGCTATGACGTCGCATAGCGTCGGAAATCGAACGCCCGTTCACCTGCCTTGCGGAATTTCACGCTTCAAGGCGAGACCGATGTTTCATCGATGCTCGGAAAAAGATGTGTGACGGGATTGGCAAAAATGCTCAGACTCTTCGTGGCGAAACGAAGAGACGGACGAATGTCGTCATTGCGAAGGGACGTTTCGCGTTGACATTTGCGCCTCTCGGGTGAGGGGACAAGCGCCGAAATTGTTGCGCGGGAGTATCGAAATTCGACCGAGATGACTCTCTTTTGTGATCTGCCGGCAATTCCGAAAATTAGAAAAAATCATTATCGGTGAGATGCAACATCAAATGCAACGTAATCGGACGTTTCCTCCGTTGACAAACGAAGTTCGTTTACGTAAAGAGAGCGTTTTCCCCGACGGCGTGGAGAAGAAAGAGAGAGAGAGAATCCAAGATATTCTCGGGGAGAGTAAAACCGACGAAATCTGACTCACGAACACTTCTCTATTCTCTTCTCCGATGATTTCGCAACATTCTCTTCGCGTAGTAGGTGCCTCATGGCGCTTGGCCATTATCTCACCGCAGGGTACAGAATTGCGTACGAGCTCGCCATCTGTTTCGCGCGTGCATATATACGTGTCTCGCCTTAGGGCAAGATTACGGCAATTACAACGATTTCGTAACGCGGCGAGATCGCGTGTCGATTAAAAGGAGGGAAAGGAAGAGAAAAAAAAAAGGAGTCCGGCCCGGTCGCGAAATTACGGGCGGGCGTGTTGAGAAATCCGCGGCACGCTGGCGAAAAAACGCCGTGACCGCCGTCGATTTGCTCGTGTGACGTGCGAATGAATAAACGAAGGAACGGAGGAACGACGAACGAACGAACGGATGCCCGTCAAGCCAGAATTTCCCTGAAACTGCTTTCACTTCTCCGAAGAATGCGAAGGCTGTCGTACACGACCAACGGCGTCTAGCACGGCCTGACGAGTACACGGTACCGAGGCCCCCACCTCGAGAGACCGGCGGTGTGGCTCACTCTCGTTGGATTCATATGTGTATGCGTGTACGTGTGTGTGTGGGTGTGTGCAAATACGTGTATCCGTACACTTCACACACGGTGCACACTCGCGAACGCGCGATACGCGACCATTCGCACGCTCTTTCTCTCCTTTTGCCCTTCTCTCTCTCTCTTGTTCGTTCTTCAACGGATGTTATAGCGTCTCTCTCTTGTTTCTCGCAATTCTCTTCAATTCTCAGCTTCTGTCTTCACATGTCTTACCGGCTATCATAGATATACATGCC